TCTGCCGTCTGCCTGTTGAGAGCTGCTGCCTGTGGTCACTGCCCAGATCAAAGGCTACAAGCACAGATGGAGGAGGGTTTCCCCCTGCACTCCAAGGGAGATTCCTCTCACCATGCCAGAGCCAGCCCTGGGGCTCAGGTGTTCCTCCAAGGCAGCCTACGGAGAGAGATCACAGAATCAGAATCCCCAAGTGGTTTGTGTTGGAAGCGATATTAAAGCTCATCTGCCTCCAATCCACCTTCCACTAGCCCAGGTTGCTCCAATCCCCATCCAGCCTGGCCTTGAACATTTTTAGGGATGGAGAGTCCACAACATCTCTGGGCAACAGTCAGCACAGAGCCCTTGGCATGGGGTTTGCTTGGCCAAGCTGACAGCTCCCCACACAGAGCCCCTGGGTGTGCTTGTTCAGCCTGGTGAGCTGCTGATCCTGGTGCAGGAAAGCTCAGAGGTGTTTCCAAAACCCCAGCTGCTCTGCACAACCCCGGGGTTGGGACGAGAGTCGTTGCTGAAGGAGATTAAAGCACAGGCAGTGAGCATGGAACATGAATGTTGCCTGCTTCCCCTTGGCCTCTGGGTTGCTGTTTATTCCCTTCGCAGAGAGATCTCAGCGGAGCTCCAAGCCAAGCAGAATTTTCCCATTGCAGGTGGAGCAGGGGGTCCAGGCAGAGCTCCTGCATCTCCCGCACCATCACCCAGTGACCTGTAGGCCCCTGTCCTGCTCTTTTGCCTCTGTGCAGACCTGAGATCTACAGAAAACACCCAGAGCACTGTTCCCACGCTCGGCGTGCTCACGGCTGCCTCGGTTGGATGCTGTCCATCCAAAGTGGTGAGCCTGGGGATCCTGCAGCTGTGGGGAGGTGGCTCAGCCTCTTCAACAGGTTTGGGCACACTGGAGGAAGGTGACAAAAATTAAAACTACATCAACAAGGGACAGGCAGTAGTGAAGAGCTATTGGTCACATGCAGGACGAAACGAGGGGAGATGCAGCTGTGGGGGCTGCACAGCCCCATCCGAGAGAGCTGCGGTGTGGAAGCGTGGTCTCAAAGCCTGTCTTCCCTTGTGCTGGTGAAAGTTAAGTGTCTGCTTTCTGGAGCCCTTTCAGAGCCTGCCAGCTCAGCTGCCATGTGTCCTCCAAATGCAGGGCAGGATGCTCAGCTTCCTCCTGGCTGCCTGGACAGGCACATGGGCTGCAGCCCACTGCCTGCTGCCATGCCCAAAGCAGGCTGGGGGCTCCCAGCTCCTTCCTTCCCTGGGGCTGGCAGTGGCTGTGGAGCCAGGGAGGGCTCTGGGACACGAGCTATGCTGGTGGCTGGCCACCTCCTGGCAGGGATTGCTCCCGAGGGCAGCTCCGTGCTGGGAAGCTGGCAGCAGGACTTGCTGCATTGGGGCGGCTTTGTGCTGGTTTTTTTTTTGGTGGTTTTCCTAAAAACGGTGCCTTTTGCAATCCTCCCAGTCTTTCACAAAACTTTTCCTGGCAGAGCCTCTCAAAAACTTCTGGGAATTCAGCTTTTGAAAGGCGTTGGGGTTAAAGACATTTGCGCTTCTGTGCCATGCTGACAGGTTTCCTGGGGTGGAGATCCCTTGCCGGAACTGCTTTATGATGCTGGGTTGGACTCAGGGAGCTGCAGTTGCTCCAGGAAACACAGGGAAGTTTTCAATCTGGGAGAAAGGGCAGTGGTGACAAGGGAGGAGCCTTGGAAGCGGCTGAGGATGGAGACCTCGTCCCACCATCCTGGGGAAGGTGTTGCAGTTGTTGAACCCAAACTGTGGTTTGGGGAACTGCGATCTGGGATGTCACGCTGAGAACAATTCCCCCCATCCCCTTCATAACTGATCCCAAAGGGCTGATGTCCACCCTGCTGCTCACACAGGTGAGACCAACTCCACGTGCTCGTCACTGACCTCCGGCTCTATCCCTGTGGATGCGAGTGTGGCAGGCTCTGCTGGCCCTGCTGCTGCACACAGCAGAGTGGACAAAAGCTGGGGACACCATGGGATGGGCATTTGTCCATCAGGTACTTATGGGGTCCCTCAGAGCTTTGCCCTTGCTGATGACTGCACTGCGCTTCAGGGAAAAATACTTGACGGACTTAGAGGTCTTTTCCAACCTAAAGGATTCTCTGATTATGTACAGATGTCAGGAATAAAGACTGAAATGAATAAGGCATGAAGCCCTGAAACACGGCTTTGTGTCTGCAAATAATAAGGAAAGAGTTACAGCCTTGGAAGAGCAGGAACGTTCCCCCGTGTGCAGGGTCCAGCCGCTCCCTGGCGTCGACGAGGTGCCCTCCTGGCACTGTCCCCTGTGTGAAAGCTCTGCTTGCAGTGGATTGCCTACAGATGGGTTTCTCAACCTTTCCTAACCCAGGGATGGCCAAACCTTTCTGGTGAAAATCCAAGGATCATTTTGTTCGGAGCCACCACATGGTTTTATTTACGCCCCATGCGAATTAGGCAAACGTCTCGCTGTTTGTCTCTTTTATTTCATCCCCTCGTGCTTGTTTCTGCACACAGGAATGCACGCCTGTGTGCTTAGGAGCTATTTTGCAGACCACTTCCTACTGTCCTGGGGACAAGGAGCAGGTCCTGGGCCCAGTGTGACAGCAGGGAGCGACGTGTCCCTGTCCTTACTTCACATCACAGCTCGGCTCCCCAGGCAGGGAGCAAAGCCACTCCACCATCTCCTGCCACGCCAGCATCCCAGCCCAGTGAGGGGGGAGCCCTTGAGGACCTTCAGTGTCCCTGTCCTCACCTGGAGACTGTTCATTAACGTGGCTGAATGGCAGCCTGAGCCCACCGTGTCCTCTGCGCTCATCACTGGGGGTTTCAGTCCCTCCACCTCTTGCCTGGAAGTCCACAGGTCTCCCTGTGTCTTGAGGGGGCACCCACAGCTTCTCCTTGGCTCTGAGGATGTCCCCACTGACTGTTTTTTTGGCCAAGAAAGCACTGAAAGGTAGCTGCATCCCCTTTGGAAAACCAATGGACTCGGAATCTCTGCCAGGACTTTCCCTCCCTCCCTGGACCCTTGCAGAGCCTCAGCAGGAGCCTTCCCCAAATCCATCCCTTGCTCAGGGCAGTTCTGCCAGCTCCCAAAGCCACGCTTAACTTGACACATGTGTGCAGCCCTGGGAAATGTGGTGGCTCTGATTCTTGTTTGTGATGCCTTCCCCAGTTCCAACCTGACAGGAGCCTTCCCTCCAGTACACACCTCTCTGCCAGACAGGCTTGGAACAACAATCTCCATCTTCCCATCTTCTTCATCTTGGGGTTCAGTGAGGCGACTGCTCCCAGTCCCAGCCCTGGTGAGTGCCCTCAAGGCTGCGAGGAGTATCAGGAGGGACTGTGCACACCTCTCTGCCAGACATGCTTGGAACACCGGTCTCCATCTTCCCATGGCCTGGGGTTCAGTGAGGCGACTGCTCCCAGTCCCAGCCCTGGTGAGTGCCCTCAAGGCTGCGAGGAGTATCAGGAGGGACTGTGCCTGTCAGGGGACATGGGATGGTTTGTCCTCCTGCATCCCTTGTGCTCATCTCCAGCAGCTGCCATTCAGAGCCCCCAGCTGCCTTTTGGAACTCCCAGGTGCCATTCAGGACACCCACCTTCCTTTTGGGACCCCCAGGTTTGGTTATGGCTGTGCCACTGGCCACCATCCCTAGCATGAGCATGAGGAGGAGGATGAGGAGACAGCAGTGCCTCACCTCTTGCAGAAAGGTTAAGCTCTGTTTAAGCATGATCCTGGTAGAACCCTAATTTGGGGGATGCCCAAAGGGAGGCTCTTTGGAGGGAGGAGCTCCATGCAGCCCTGCTGGGGCTGTTGGACAGACACACAGCCACTCTGCAGCCTCTGAGACAGAGGCACCAACCTTCTGGTGTCCTGGGCTGCATGGGGCTCAGAACAGCTCCTCCTGGGGTGTGGGACAAGGTGTGGGCATGGTGCTGCTCTCCACCCTGGCTTGCACTCCTTGGGCTGCACTCTCAGTCCCAGCTCTCTGGGGTGAGGACAGACTGACAGCAAGCACGGCTGTGGGTCCGGCTCTGGCTCTTCCTCGCTGACAAAACCCCCAGTTTGCGACAGTTTCTGGCGTTTGGTCCTCGCCATCCGCTTTCCATTCTAGCGCTCGCCTTGCAGGAAGGCTGTGGGGACGAGGGGGGTGGGAGCCTGTTTCAATTGTTTGGGGAATGGAAGAGCCTGGTTCTGTGGCTGGTGGAGCCCAGCGGAGCTCACTGTGTACAGGGAGCTTTCCCACTGCTGGTGCTTCCCTTGGAGCAGCAGAAGCTGGAGGGTTTCTGAATCGGTGGCATTTTAGTGGCAGGGCTGGGTCTGGTGGCTGGCTCTTGGGATGGAGCCTTGCTTGGGGCATGGGGTGTGCATCACCTGCCTGGGGCAATGTGGGGGAGAAATGTGCCGTTTTTGGGATCTGCTCACGGTGGAGTGGTCCAGAGGAGTCAGAGGGTCTCTCATCCAATACAAGCTGAAAACCAATGCATTTAGGGGCAGGAGGGCTCCCACCCAGTTCTCTCCAGGCGGGAGTAAATCTCTCACCTACCCCCATGCGAGCCCAGAAAAATGAATCACCAAAAATGAAAGGAAGCAAAGAAAGCAAGCAAAAAAATAATGATTAAAAAATCCCTCCCCAAAGCCGCCTTCCAGAGGGTTGGGCAAAAGATAAAAGCCCTCGGAGGAGCCGGGACTCCTCCTCTCCCACCACCGACCTCTCATTTAAATGTCTGTGTGCAGGCTGCAGCCGGCACTGCCTCGCCGGCCGGCCCGGGAGCCCCCCAGGAGCCCCCCGGCCGTGCCCCCGGGGGCGATGCCCGCGCAGAGCATGGGCACAGCGCCGGGCTCCAGCAGCCGGGGGTGACGCGGCCCCGGGAGAGGTGCCGGGGTCCCGGGGCAGAGCATGCCGGAGCCCCCGGGGCGCTGAGCCGAGCAGCGCCGGGAGGGCCGAGCGGACAGCGGGGGGGTCCCGGTGGATGGACGCCCCCAGGGCAGACCCCCGATGTCGGCGGCACTGCTGCTCTGGGTGGTTCTGCTCCGCTGGGCCAGCGGCGGGGGCTTCACCCGGGCAGGCAGGACGTGGCAGCACTGCACAGGTAGGAGCCGAGGGAGGGGGCCAGGGGTGTTCACCTGTGGCACGGGGCTGCTCCCACGGCTGGGATGCTGGCAAACCCCAGAGGGGGTGCTCTGTTTTGGGGGGCACGCCCGGTGTGGGTCAGCTCTCGCTGGCAGCCCAGCCCGCTGTTCTGTGCTCAGTGCCCCGAGTGACAGAGGTGCCTGGGGGCTGCGTGCCAGCACCGGCACCCATGGATGGTGGCAGGCTGTGGCGTCATTCCTGTGCCTGCAGCCCCACAGGGCCAGCGGGGGAGCAACCAGCCCTCTGGGAGCCTTGGGAAGAGCTGTGCCTGTCCCTGTGGCACCAGCGTGGTCCCAGGCTCTGCTGGGGGCAGGGGATGGACTGGAAAAAGGACAAGAGAGCCATGAAGTCCCCCTGGAAAGTCCCTCCTGCCCGGGCTCTTCTGTGCTCTGGCAGGCACAACCCGCACCCCCCGGCAGCAGAAGTTTCCGTCCCACGTTCCCGGCCGGAGCGGCAGCTCCGCTGTCATTTCCCGAGCCAAGGAGGGTCCCGTGCCCTGGCTCTGCCATCCCATCCCCACGCCTGTGCTGTGTGGGCAGCCAAGCCTGAGCTCAGCTTTTGGGGCCGCTCGGGCCCAGGCTCTGCGTGCTTAGGGCTTGTCCCAGTTTGATGGCAATTGTATTTGCTTTTTGTACAGCCCAGGTGATGTGAAAAGAAAAACAGGGAGAGATTCGGGAGTTTCTGCCCACTGCCTCCTCCCTGAGGTGCTCCAATCTCTCTGGGAATGTCCCTGCTGTCCCCAGGCAGCCTTGGCTGGAGGGATCCAGGGGGTGCTGAGGACCCAGCATCATCCTGGGGACCCCAGCATCATCCTGGGGACCCCAGCATCATCCTGGGGACCCCAGCACGAGGCCCCCTGATGCCACCTGTGCTGCCCAAGCTGGGCTGGAGCACCCCAGCTGCTCTGCCAGCCTCAGCAGTGATGGTTGTGGGAGGCAGACCTTTGGATTTAGGGATTTGGGTTTGGTTTTAGGACTTGGCCCCTTCCTGGCCCACAACGTCCAGCACCAGCTGAGTTCTCCCTCAGCTCATCCTCAGCATCTCAGGGGCAACTGGGGGCTCCTAAACCCCTCTGCAAATCCAAGCCTGAGTTCAGCTTGTACTTTTTGCTGGGAAAAACAGGAACTGGCCGTTGCCCGAGTGATGCATTTCTGAAATAAGCTGTTCCAGTTAAAACTCCGCCACCAAGACTTTGCTTTAGGAACAGCTTAAACCAGCAGTGGGGCGGGCAGGGGGCACACAGAGCTGCCAGGGTAGGAAGGACCTCACCATCTCCCTGCTCTGGTCTGGATGGAGCCACATGAGCAGATTCCTCCTTGCTCTGCCCACCTGGAGCTGGGCTGGCCGGGCGCGTCTGGAGGAAGCGCTTCCCTTCTGCAGCTGGTTTGGATTCAGACACACAGCCCAGCCTTGCTCGCAGCTCCCTCCTTCCCAGCCCTCCCGCTGTGCCCCAGCAGCCCGGATTTATTAGTACAAATTGGAGCTAAAAGCCAGGTCTCAGCGGGGTGGGATGGAATCAGGGATGTTTAGTGCAGCCAAGTGCTGCTTCATCTCTTGGGCAGCATCTCCCTTCTCTGCCACAAAAGCATTCAAAAGTAAAGCCAGCAGGGTCCAAGGCCAGGAGAAGTCCCCACAGCTGCTCCAGCCCTTCCTGTGGCACGACGTTGGACCTGGCATTGTTCCGTGGGGTGGCACTTTCTGGTGCTGTTGTGCTGAGTGCTCTCACCGGGGCGATGCCCTGGGGCTGGGCACGGCGTTCTCTTCTCTGGGGAGAGGGTAATTATTTATAATGAGTGGTTTTGGTGCCTGCTGGGAGAGTGCGTGTGCGTGTGTGCAATTAGGGCTGGGTTGGGAGAGCCTGAACGGGACCGGAGGGGTGGAGCTGTCCCCACTGCCCTGTGGACAGGTTTGGGGACGGCTGGCTGTCCTGAGAGCAAGTCTGTGGCACCGCAGCCCTGCCTGCTCTCCTGGCTGTGGCCGCTGGTGCCGGTGCATCCCGAGGAAGCTGCTGGCAGCCCGAGGGTGCCTGGCTGGCATCTCCCAGCTCCAGCGTCAGCACTCAGAGCTGCATAGCGAGGTGGCTCTGCACGCTCGGTGTTCCTGCTGCGGCGGTGGAGATGCCAGCCTTGTGTCTGAACGGCAAATCTGGCCCTGAAGCAGGGCACGGGGTGATGTTCCTGCACCAGGCACGGGCCCGTCCTGCTGCTCAGCCAGCGCCGGGGCACCGCCATCCCACAGGGTGATAAAACACGGCGCTGTCTCCCGGCACAGAGCTGCGCCCGCTGGACATGCTGTCGGAGGCGGTGCCGCCCGGGGCCCCGGCCCGCGGCGTGCGGGTCTCGCAGGCGCAGGGCGTGCGCGGCCTGCAGCTCTCCGCATCCCGGCCCCGCGCCCTGGCCTTCCCCGCCTCGCGGCTCTTCATCCACTGCGACCGCTTCCCCGAGGAGTTCTCCATCATCGTCACGCTGCGAGCGCTCCGCCGCCCCGCCAAGGTGAGCGCGGCCGGCCGGGCACGGTAATGGCACGGTGCGGGCACGGTGCAGGCACGGAGCGGGCACGGTAATGGCACGGTACAGGCACGGTACAGGCACGGTGCGGGCACGGTGCGGGTACAGAGAGGGCACAGTACAGGCACGGTGCGGGCACGGTGCGGGTACAGAGAAGGCACAGTACAGGCACGGTACAGGCACGGAGCGGGCACGGTGCGGGTACAGAGAGGGCACAGTACAGGCACGGTGCGGGCACGGTACAGGCACGGTGCGGGCACGGTGCGGGTACGGAGAGGGCACCGTACAGGCACGGTGCGGGCACGGTACAGGCAAGGAGCGGGCATGGTAGGGGCATGGAGCGGGTATGGTACAGACACGGTACAGACACGGTGCGGGCACAGCACGGCCCCGCAGGTGCCAGCCCGTGCCCTCCCGCAGAGGAACGAGTACATCTTCACGCTGATGGTGGAGGAGAGCCCCAGCGTCCTGGTGGGGTTGCGCTACGCCCCCGACAAGCTCCACTTCCTCTTCTGGAGCCAGGAGCGCGCCGGCGGCTGGCAGACCCGCGTCACCTTCCCCAACGTGTCCCTCTCCGACAACCAGTGGCACACGCTCATCCTGGCTGTCTCCGGCCAGTCCTTCTCCTTGACGGTGGACTGCAGCGTCCCCAAGGATGTGTAGGTTGGGGCAGCGCCACGGGGCTCGGCAGGGTGGGCAGGGTGATGTTCCCCCACCAGCGTCTCCTCTGGCCAGCAGAAGATGCTGTGAAATTGTGCTCTTGTGTGAAATCTCCTCTCTGGCCATCCCCAGGGTGGTGGAGACACCATTTCCAGCCTCGCTGTCGGTGAGGAGAGCCAGCTTCTACCTGGGCAACAGGCGGAGGAGGAAAGGCGTGTTCACGGTAGGTGCCCGTGGTGTGGCTGTCCCGGAGTGCCCAGGTGGGCTCGGGGTGCTCGTGGCTGGCTGTGGGATGACCCACAGCCCTCTTCTCTCAGCCCCTTATGCTGGCAGGGCCTGGGCACAGGAGGGAGAGGAGGCTGTGGGTCCTTCCCATGTGGAGGCACTGCAAGGCAGCCGCTCCAAGTCCCGTGCCCCTAACGTCAGCTGTGAGATTGCCCCAGCCGGGCATCTGGGATCTGACAGATGTGCATGAATCCCGTGGGCACTTCTGCATCCCGGGAGGGAGGGCAACAAGCAGAAGTCAGGCGGGAAATCCAAGGCACGGATTGCCTGTAATTCCCATTCTGTGATCTGCGGGACTTGGTCTCCATCCCTCTGCTCCCACTTTCCCAGGGCTTGCTGAGACAGCTTGTCCTGCTGCCAGGAGCTGATGCCACCCCCCGGATATGCCACGCCGTGAACTTCAAAGTAGCAACACTCTCCGTCCCCAGTGTCCTCCAGGATGTCCCTGCGAAGCCAGTGAGCAACGAGGTGCTCAAATACCCCTACGGTCAGTGCCCACGGCAGGGCTCTGCTGGCCCCCTCCACCTCTGTGGGGAAGGGTCTGGGCAAGGGGCTGGGAATGAAGCAGGAGCAGAGAGGAGGAGGGTGTTCCTGTTGCCAGCACTCTCTGTTTCTCAATGTGTGTGTTGGGATCCCTGTCCAAAATGTCCCTGAACAGACAGGGTGGCCCTGCCTGGGTCCCTGGGCTCGTGTCAGTGGCCCCACACACGGAGTTGTCCCAGTCTGTGGCTCCCCAGATTTGTGCTGGGATTCCATTTTCCCCACTGCCTGATGCCCTCCATCAGGATGAGGGCAGGACATTTGCCCCTTCCCTGCTCCTCCCTGCGTGCACTGAGAGGCTCCTCGCTCCTCCCCATGCCCAGAGACGGACATGAAGGTGACCCTGGGGGCCCGGCCACGCTGCTCCAAGCAGGAGAAGGCTCAGTTCTGGTTCAACGCCTCCCGCCGAGGGCTGTACCTCTGCAACGGCAGCACCTGGCTCTCCATGCTGGAAGGTACCCCGGGGGGGTGCTGGCACTCTGGGGGAGGGAAGGAGACCCTTGCAGCAGAGCAGGAGCTGGGATTTGCCCTTGAGGCCGCTTTGGGATGGGAAGCAGCAGCAGTGAGGGGCTGGGGTGTCCCCCTGTCTCTGCTCTGCTTGGCCAGGCCTTGCTTTGCTCTCAGTGCCCATGGCACTTCTAGAGCACCTCTGGATTTAAATGCCTCTGTGGTCCCTCCACCTTCTCCACATTATCTGTCCCTCCCGGGAATTTTGTGGGCAGGGTGAGCTCCTGACCTGTCTGAGCAGGACAGCTCACCCCACGAGAGCCATGCTCGGGGTGTTGGGGCGCTGCCCCAGTGCTGAAGCATTTGTGGGATGGATAAGGGGAAACAAGGAGACCCAACAGCAGCCAGAAATACTGGGGGTGATTGGGAGGGTGGCAGACACAGGTCTCAGTGTCATCTGGGCTCTGGTGGGACACTTTGTAGGGAAAAGAGTGGGAGTACCAAGGTGGGAAAGGCAATCAGAGCCTGGGATGGATGGGTGTTCTTCAACAATGACGTGGATTTCATCCACTGGCGCTCTCACTCACTCCAGGCTGTCTTCCCAGGATCCCTGGAGAGGACATGGAGGATGGGATATGTTCCTAACTGAGCTGTCCTTCCCTTCCCTCCTCTCCCAGCATATTGCTTCTGCCAATACCCACAGGGTGGGTTTGGATGAGCCATTTGTCCCCCACAGCAGCTAGCAGTGACCCCCTATCCTTCCCTACCTCTGGAAGCCATCAGGATTGGCATGGTGTCCCTGTTTCCTCAAGGAGTGCTCATCCAGGGTCTTACTGACCTGTGCCCCTTGGTGCCACCAACACTGCCCCTTCCAGTGCCCATCCATCTGCTATCAGGGCCACTCTGGAGCTTTCTGCTCCAATTTCTGGCATGAATTCTTAGTCTTCCCTAACCTCTCCTGCTGTCATCTCCTCCCTGTTCTCTTGAGGATAAATATATCAAAGTGATCAAAATCCATGTCATGGGGTGCTTTCCAGCTCCCAAAGGACACAGCTGTGCTCTCTGCTGGAGAACAGGCAGGGCTGGGTGGGGCTGGATGTGCTGCAGTCAGCCTCTTACCACCCCTTGGCCTGGCCCTTCACCCCCAGTGGCACCAGGACCTTCCAAGCTCTGCACAGCAGCAGAGCCCTCGTGGGGCCCCTCTCCAGCTAAAACCACCTGGTTTTAACCTCACCCCTCTTTTTTTTTTTGGTGGGCTGCCAGTCCAACACAGGCTGGACTACGTGGAGGAGTACCAGAACCTGGTGACCAACTCGGAGACGATGGGCATTGAGGTGTTCAGCATCCCCAGGCTGGGGCTCTTTGCAGCCATGGCCAACCGGCTCACGCCCCCGGGCTCGGCCATCTACAGGTGGACTGAGGGCAAGTTTGTGCACTACCAGAACATCCCCACCCACCAAGCTCAGTCCTGCAAGTATTTCACCATTGGGAAGAAGGTGAGGCTGCCAGGAAGTGTTTCAGTACATTAAATCGCAGGTGCCCAACACTGGATTCTCTGAAGCCTGGGTGCTTGGGCATGGTTTAGGGAATGTAGGTAACTGCATCTCAGAGATCTGCCTGTGGTCTTCAAGAGCCATCAGGGCCTGCAGTTCCCTCTTGAGACCCACTGAGTCCAACCTGCTGCATTTTAAAACTCTCTTGCTTTTTAATTATTCCAGGAATTCAGAGCTACCTCTTCTCCCCTGGGCAATGTGCCTTGGGGCTTGAGCAGAGGATTTGCCTGGATCCTCTCCCTGGGAAGCTAATTATCCCTTTGGAGGAACCCAGGAAAGCCATCTGCTGAGAGCCAGCTCTGTGCAGAACTCCTAGGGAAGCTGGGATTGCTCCCCCTCTGTTGTGACCCATTCTGGCTTTGTCTCCAGGGTTTTCTCTTCCCACTGAAGCTGTTTCTGGAAATGCCCCAAAGGGGCTCCTTGGACTGGTGCTTGCAGAGAGAGCAGAGCTGGGGTTCACCTTTTGTGAAGGGACAGGGGGACAGCCCGGCACAGCCCTGTGCTTGGGGGTGGCTGCTCCTTGGCAGAACAAAGCCCTGGTGCCGTACAGGCCAGGAGGCAGGAGACACCCCCACTGACTCTTTCCTCTTTGTGGGCTGTGGCCCTGTGCCTCTTTGTGGCCCAAACTCTGCTGCTCCATCTGAAGGACACTGGGGTGGCACAACATGACAGAGCTTGGATGTGCTCCCTGCCGTGCACTTGGCCGCCTCTGCTGCACCACTCTTGTCTCTTACACTCTCACAGGGGTTTCTTGGTCTGGAAAACCAGAGTTTTGTCTCAGGGAATTGTTATCATTATTGTCATTGTTATCATTATCATACCTGCCTTTTTTTTTGTTCTGAACCACCTTTACTCACAGGGGGGTTTGTCAGCTGAACCTCCCTCCTTCCCCCGTGCATTTCATGTCCATGCTCCCCATTCCTGGCGCTGGAGGGCGAGCACAGACAGCTCAGCTCTCTCCCACCTTGTCTAAGAGCTGCTGGCTGCCAGTTGTGCCCCTGCCATCCACTAGGACCCCCACAGGCCACTGGGTCCCTGTCCCCACTTTGTGTTGCTTGGGGACAACTCAAGGCCAGCCAGGGCCACACCAGCCACCTCCATCCCACCTCCCCCTGCGTTTTCTTGTCCGTGCTGCTTTGAGAGGAGAAACCCAAGCCATCCTGGCTTTTCCTTTCCCAGATCTTCCTGGCAGTGGCGAATTTTGAGCAGGATGAGAGGGGTCAGGAGTTCTCAGTGATATTCAAGTGGAGCCGCAGGAAAGCCAAGTTCATCGCGTACCAGCGGATCCGCACGCACAGCGCCAGGGACTGGGAGGCCTTTGTCATCGAGGGAGAGGCTTTTCTTGCTGTGGTCAACCACAGAGAAGGTACCCAGCCCTCAGTGCTCCCTGCAGGGTGCTGTCTGGGGCCCTGGCAGTGCCCTGCTCAGAGCAGGCTCCCCGTGCTTGCTCAGGGGAGCTGAGCACGCCTGGGGTCCCCCAGGCCACCCAACGCCTTGAGAGGAGAGGAAAGCTTTTGAGCAAGGGGGTGACACAGTCACCCTCTGGGTTTCTGGCTGCAGGGGACAAGGACAGGAGTGGGGACGGTGTCTGTGCTGAATCTTTCTGCTTATTTTCAATTTTATCCCCAATACTGTGTAACCTGCTAGTGCCACAGGTGGAGCCTTTTGTGAAGCCAGATCCTCAGCTTTGTGGGCACACAGGAAACTGAGTGAGAGCCAGCTGAGCTCCCTGCCTGAATACCCTGCAGACATGATCCAGCCTCCTTCCCCTCCCCAGGGAGTTGTTCTGGGCTGGGATGTGCAGCCCTGGTTGACAGCACAGCCCTGGCTCTGCGGGATGATCCCAGCTGGGCTCAGATGAGCCAGTGGCTCCTTCCCTGCCATCAGAGCTGGCTCAGGGGCATCAGTGCCTCTGGCACCAGGCTCAGAGCTGGCACCAGGCTGCGTGGGCACCTGTGGGCTGGGCTGGACAGTCCCTGTGTCACCTCTTGGACTCCATCAGGGCCAGCTGGGTGAGACCTTCCTTCCCTTGTGGCAGTTTGCCAGCCATGCACATCACACAGGGGTTGAGACCATCATGGCCGAGCCAGACTGGGGATGGTTCCCTTCATGGGGACTGGAGGTTCAGTCTCTGAGGAGCTGCCACTTATCCATGTGGCCATTCCCACTCTTCCTGCAGCCTTTCTTTACCCAAGTCCCTGTTGCAATGAGGATTTAAAGCTGCTGGGTCCCACACAGGCATGAGGTGGAGATGCTAGAGCTGAGCCCAGGAGCTGATGGAGCACGAGCTTTAGGGCAGGGGGAAGCCCCCAATGCCAGGAGCTTAGGGATGTAGGCACACAGTTTGTGGTGATTGGGATGGGGCCCAGCCTCATCCCCAGTGGCACAGCTGTGAGCAGCAGCTGAGCAGCACTGACAGCAATGAGCCATGGAGTGCCCAGGGGCACTGACCAGCACCAAAGGGAGCAGAGGGCACACAGGGGCAGTGTGTGAACATGGGGGGATAAAAGGCTGGGCTAGAGAACAAGAAGGGCAGCCCCTTGCAGCCCTCTGAAGTGGTGTGGTGTTGTTCTGTGTGGGCTAAAGCTTTCTGAAATTGTGTGGTGACGCTCTGTGTATCGTGGCTGTCTCAACTGTGACATGTGCTGTGGCATAGGGACACAGCTGGGACTGTGAGACAGCCAGCAGAGCTTGTCCACCCTGGGATGCTGGCAGGGAGTGCTGCTTGTGTGGGGATAAAGTCCCTGCCTGTCCCTCCTCTGCCAGGGCTGCCACAAAGCTGCTGCTGTGCACTTGGGGCAAGCTGTTGGTGTGTTCCATGGGATGGAGGCTCTAGGAATGGAGACACTAGGTAGGGATGGAGGCTGTGGAATCTCTTTGGCTACTTCTTGGGGAGCAACAGGTCACTTACAAACAGCCTTGTGACCTGCTGGCAAACATTAAGGCAGCTGAGCCTGTTTTGGGGTCTTGTTCCCTACACAAAGCAGGAATTGCTTTCCCTCATGGTGCACATCTGTCTCCCCCAGGGAACAACCACAATATAGACAGTGTGATATACAGGTGGAACCCCAGGACAGGGCTGTTTGAAACTAACCAGACCATTCCTACCTCTGGAGCCTACGACTGGGAATTCTTCACCATCGGACCATATTCCTTCCTGGCTGTAGCTAACACATTCAATGGCACGTCCACTAAGATCTACTCACACATCTACATCTGGCTCAGCGGCTCTTTCCAGCTCTTCCAGTCTATCCTGGTAAGGCTTGGCCACTGCTCCTCAGTCCCCCCTCTGTGTTTAGACAGGGCAGCCACATCCAGCTTCTCACGGCCTCCTTCCCCACAGACATTTGGTGCAGCTGACTGGGAGGTTTTCCACATTGGGGACAGAGTCTTCCTGGCTGTTGCCAACAGCCACAGCTATGACAGTGGGATGCCAGCACCCTCCAATTTCTATGCCATCAACTCCTCCATCTATGAGCTGAACATCACGGCCCAGATGTTTGTTAAATTCCAGGACCTTCTCACCTACAGGTACCTGTGCAAGGATTCAGGGTGCTCCTCGGTCTGTGTCCTTCCCCTGAGCAACCCAAAGGTCTCACGGAATCCCACAATGGTTTGGGTGGGAAGGGACCTTAAAGCCCATCTCATTCCACCCCTTGCCATGGGCAGGGACACCTTCCACTAGCCCAGGTTGCTCCAAGCCCTGTCCAACCTGTCTTTGGACTCTTCCAGGGATGGGATGGCTGCAGCTGTGCCAGGGCCTCTCCTCTTTCAGTTTAAAACTACACTTGCTTGCCTCCTGGAGGGCTCCTGCAGGATTCACACTCCCAGGGACTGAGACTGGTGGGGAGGGTGATGGCTGATGGCTCCTTGGCACCAAGTCCCAGTGGGAGCTGGGAAAAGGCTAGATTTGGGAATGAGGGTGGATTTCTTTCAGGAACAGCCTGGGAAGAGCAGGGTTTTCTGTGAGTGCTCAGGGTGTCAGAGACTGGGGGGGGGGGGGGGGGGGGGGGGGGGGGGGGGGGGGGGGGGGGGGGGGGGGGTGGCCACACAGGGGTCATCTCATCTGTCCCTCTGCTCATTCCATCCCCAGTGCCCTGGACTGGGAGTTCTTCTCGGTGGGAGATGACTCTTTCCTGGTGGTGGCCAACTCCTTCGATGGCTTCACCTTCTCTGTGAACAGCATCATCTACAGGTACTGCGGAGGGCAGGCTGGGGGCTGCTCCGGCAGGAACCACCCTGCACGGCCACAGCCTGCTGCACCTGCCCAGGGAGCAGGGGTAGGACTGCTCCCTGCTTTCAGGCAGGCATGGGAAGCCCCACTGAGGGACATCCCACCCTGAGCCACAGCAGGGAGCTGGGAGATGGCAGCCGCAGGGCTCAGCTCCCTGCCTTCCCAGGTGCCCACCCCAGGAGCTAACTGCCTTCCCTGTGCAGGTGGCAAGGCTACGAGGGCTTCGTGGCAGCCCACCACCTCCCCACGGTGGGCTGCAGGGACTGGGAGGCGTTTCACACCGCGGAGGGCTCCTACCTGCTCTACTCCAGCGCCAGGGAGCCGCTCTCCAAGGTGCTCAAGCTGAAAACCACCTGAGGCGGCTGAGACACGCTCAGCCCATCGCCAGGACCGGCTGGGCTGCCGGCTGGAGGTGGAGCACAGAGCCCGGGAATGGCTGCAGCATCAGCTGGACAGTGGCTGGCTGAACGCTCTGCAGGAAGGGAGGAGGAGGAGGAGGAGGGAGTTCCAGGGCTTCCTGCAGCCTTGTCCAGAGGCTGTTTCTCCTGGGAAAGCTCTGCCACCATGCTCCAGAGCCATGTCCTACCCAAGGTTCCTGAAGCCTGGGTGCAGCCCCTGGCTTACCAGGGCCATGGTGCTTGGCAGTTTCCAGTCCCAGGAGGGACCCAGAGCTGCCAGTAGCTGTGGCCAAAGCTTGCACAAAGCCAGGGAAGGAAGGGACAGAGCAGAGCATGAGCTGCTGGGATGGGTGCATGGCAGAGGGGAGTAAACTGTGAGAAATTGTGGGGAAAAGCGTGTCCAGGCTTGGCTCTGTCTGCCTGGGGCTGTGATGTTCCTGAGGACCACCTGGTTTGACACTGCAGCCATTCTTCATGTCACCTTCGTGCCACTGCCACTGGTGCCTGCCCACCCTCCCACTCTGCCACGGCTGCGCTGGGTCTCCCTCCACAAGTGTTGTGTGTGTTGTAGAGACCTGTTGGTGTGCTCGAGGGCCAGTGCTGGTCCTTGCTGGTCCGTGCACCTTTGCATGGGGTTAGAGACCCCTGAGAAAACCTGCTTTGCATTTGGACCCATCCAGCTACCACGGGAGTGGGAAAAACCCAAACCTGCTTCAGGTGAAACTGTGGCCTCTTTTCTTTTCCTCGCCTTTGCTGGGGGACTCTTTTGCTTAACCAGAACTCTAATAAACTGTGTGCACCCAGCCTTTCTCCCCCACGGGTAACCCAGCTACTCTGCCCATGGCAGAGGCATCCCTTCACCCAACAAGTCACCCCTGAATGTCTGTGGCTGTGGGTAGCCCAGTGAGGACGAGGTGCCCCTGAGCACAGGAGTGTGCTGGGGTGAGGGTGCCCCTCTGTTCTCCCCACCCAGGACCCCCTGCCTCACCTGAGTGTCCCAGAGCACCTCTCAGCCTTCCCCAGAGCCAGGATTCCTGCTGGGCTGAGCCATCCATCCTGGCACTGGGGAGGACTCATGAGGTGCCAGCCCCATCAAGAAGGGCTGGGGGTCACAGCCTGAGCCTTTCCAGGGTCCAGACCTGCAGGGTGAGCCTCTGCATCCCTTCCTCCTCTCCCTCTTCAGTGCAGCTGGCTCTGCCAGGAAGGGCCATTTCTCCCTTGTGAGAAAAGGGAGAATTTGATTTGCTTCCATCAATGAGCTGTGAGCAACAACCGTAATTCAGCCCCCAGGAAGGGCAAGATAAGGCAAGACCAGATGTATTTGGCCAGTGGTCCCTGCTTGAGATTCAGCTGAGGGTGGGAGGGGATGGCACCTAATGGGAGTTGTGCTGGTACATTGAATTCAGGCTGGTCTGCTTTGGGAGAGATTGAATTAGGATAAGCCCCCCAAGCACCACGAGCACCACCACCCTCCCTGGCCACTCATCTCCCTGGCCACTCATCTCCCAGCACACCACAAACCCTGAGGGCTTTTCCTAAGTGCAGGGCTTTATTGAGGAAATCAGAGGTTTTGGAGCTCCCCTGGTAGTGAGGGCCTTGGGGAGGTTGTCCGGCCCTTGGCAAGGCTGATGCCTCAATGGAGCCAGGATGGGGTGACCCCTCTGCAGTGACCTCTGCACCCCAGGGACCGCCTGGCCCCACAGCCCATCTCTCCCTGCCTTGTTGTCTCCCAACCACAAGCGTGTGACTGCGGCTGCATTCCCTGCAAGCCCAGCTCCAGCTGGGGCTGTTTGTCCCCAGAACCTGGTCACTGTGAACAGGCCCACACGGGGTGTCCCTGGATCCCTCCCCGGCATCGTTTGCTCACGCTCAGTCCAGTGTCACTGGGGAAGGGGTTGGTGGCACTCAGCCGAAGAAAGCACTGCAGAATCCCGCCGAGAAGCTTTGATGCCCACCAGGTGCCCACGGGCTCCCTGTGAAGAAGCCTGAAGCCGGCACCCAGCCCCGCTCTACAGGGCGGTGCTGGCGGTCTCTGCACGGGCCTGGGCGCCCGGCCGCGTCCCCAGCTGGTCCCGGTGCCCGCAGGAGCCCTCCCGGTTGTGGCGCACGTAGCACACGACGTAGCCGATGACCATGGCGAACCAGCCGAACATGGTGACGAACACGGCCACGTCCGTGGTCCTCTGGCGCACGCTGCAGAAGTTGGCACCGGCGTCCAGGACCTGGAGCAGCGGCTTGCCCACGTACTCCTCCCGCGGGGCCGTGTGGCAGGTGATGTCCCGCACGGAGTCCGGGTCCAGCCGCGCCTCCCACAGCAGCTCCTGCAGGGCGCACTCGCAGTGCCAGGGGTTGTTGGCCAGCCGGAGCTTGGCCTTGAGAGCCAGCAGGGCCTCCTTGGGAATGCTGCGGATGCGGTTGCCGGACAGGTCGAGGCTCCTCAGCCCCGCTGCCACCCCTCTGAAAGCTGCCCTGTCGATCTTCTCGATGGCGTTCCTGGAGAGGTCGATCTCCTCCAGGTGGGAGAGGTGCCTGAAGGCATTGCTGGGGATCCTGGTTATGCTGTTGGCATCCAGCTTGAGGAATACCACGTCTCTGGGGATGTCCTTGGGGATCTCCTCCAGGTGCTGGGAGCTGCAGAGGACGGCCTTGGCCCCTGCCCGCTCTGTGCACTGGCAGCTGGGGGGGCAGGAGCTGCCCCAGGGGATGCAGAGCAGGAGGCAGAAGAAAGCCTGGGCCACGCTGGGGGCCGGCGTGCTGGTGCTGCTGGTGAGGGTCATCTTGCAGGCAGCCAGCTCAGCATGGCTGCTGGCAGCTCCCCGGGGGCGGCAGCAGCTCCTGGGCAGCAGGACGGCCCCCGGGCGCTCCTGCAAGGCCTCTCCCATGGCTGAAGGGAAGCTGTGGGTGGAGGGGATGTGACACGGCATTATTTCCTGGAACACCGGGCATGGCTCATGTGTGATGTGCCCTGGCAAAGGGGTGAGAGGCTGGGCTCATGAGACTGCAGAACGAGGGTGGAGTGACACTGGCTGTCTTTCCCAGGACAGCTTAATTTGGTTTCATTAAAAATAGAAACCCCAGCTTCCCTAGCCCTGTCTCTGGAGAGACCACACAGGTGGATAAAGGGAGCTACAAGATGGGGTGTGGAGATGAGCCTGGGAGCCTCTGCCCCGTCCTGCTGCCAGTTTCCAGGGGGGATCAAGTAGTTTGCTGCTGGAGAGCAGCAGCAGTAAATCCCTATCTCACCAGCCCTGAGTGTTTAAAAAAAGTGATGAGTCAGACTCTAAGGATCATCAGACTGATTTAATCACCACCAGGGTTTTAAATAACAAGATGTGGAGCTCTTTTGCTTTCCCTTCCCTTCCCTTCTGGTCTGTGAGCTGGTACAAGCCAGGTTTCCACGAGTTTCACCAAAGAAGTGTTTGGAGGTGAGTTTGTTTTTTTAAAGTAAACAAAGAGTGTGGTTTGACAGCCTGACTCTGGGGGTGGGAGGGAAAGGGAGGAGCCACTGCCTAGCACAGTAAAGGGGGTGGTGTGGGAACCCCAAAGGACACCCCAGTGCTGCCAGGGGCAGGGCAGGAGGTGAAGCAGGTGGGACACCTTTTCCTCTGCCTTTGGTGCTGCTCATGTCCCTGCTGCTGCCTTGGCCATCCTGGGAGAAGAGATCCTCATGGAGGGGAGGACTGGGAGGCCAAGGGAACATTTCTCATGGGAATTAAATGTCCCATGTGATGTCATTATGGGCACCAAGTTGCTGTCCCTCTGGTAGCAGAATCCTTCTGCTAATGGCATTCCCCTGGTAGCAGCAGCATCCCTCAGGTGTGCCCGTGCTCAGGGTACCACAGAGGGACGCTCACACCTGCGGGACGCTCATACCCGAGGTGTGCTCACCTGAAGGACGCTGTCTGCAGCTTTGCCCGCAGCCCTGCCCACAGCAGTGGATTCTGCCCGGGGGTTTGAAGTTGGGCTTCCCGGGAATCCCTCTGGCTCTGCAAAATGCCCCGGGCTCTGACGGGGGGGAACGAGGACGTCTCTCCGGGGGAACAAGGATGCGTTTTGCGATGCCGGTTCCCACCGCGTGGAAGGGCTCGGTGGGCTCTCAGGAGCCGCAGCCTCCCGGTGCCCGGGGTGTGCGGGGCAGATGCTCCGGCCCCCCGGCTGCCCTGCCCGGCCCCGGCGCTGCTCCGCGCAGCGCCCCCGCCCCCGGAGCCCGGCCGTCACTTACCGGCGCTGCTTCGCTCGGGCTGTGGGCGCGGTGCCGGTGCCGGCTCGGTGGCGGATCCCGCCCGGCCCCACCTGTTGCTGCGGGCGCCGCCGGGCCCGGGCCGGGCGGTGCGGGGGCGGTGCGGGGCCGGGGGCGGTGCGGGAGCGGGAGCGGGGCGGGGGCAGCAGCGCGGCGGGACAGCGGGCAGAACCCCAGGGGCTGCGGGGCCCGGAGCGCAGAATTGAGTGCTGCTAATGAGATTTCCGCAGTTTTGGGAGGCTGAGTCTAGAAGCTTCATCAGCTGCTGTGAGGCACGATCGTCCCTCCCCGGCCGTGCCCCGGCCTGGAGGGGACGGGAGCAGGAGCAGACATCAGTCCAGGGGCAGTGGGAGGAGGTGCCGTGCCAGCACTTCGGAGCACAGCTCCCACATCAGCTCTAAACGCTCTCGAGCAGCCTGCAAGGCGCTCCTGCCCATGGCAGGGGGCTTGGAAGGAAACCATCACTGAAGTCCCGTCCAAACCAAACCCTTCTGTGAGCCAGCCATCACTGGGGTGAGTCTGCGGGCAAAGTGAGTTTGTACAGCAAGATTGGGGTGGGAATTGGGCTTGTCCTGGAGGTGTGCTCCAAGCATGGCCCCCAGGAATGGCCCCTGGTTAAACGGCTGTGAGACACCAGCAGCCTGCCGTGTTTAATAATGGTTTATTGAGCTGGGTTGAATACACTGCCAGACTGAGCCCCCTCCCCTTGCCAAACCCCTGTGCATCACCGGTGAAACTGCAGTTGTGCCATGGTGGCCACCAGCGTGGGATGAGCAGCCTTGGCTGGCCAGTTGTTGATCCACTGGGAGGAGGTGGGGAACCAGAATCCCTTCCTGAGCAGTCCCAAGCACAACATGCCACCGTGGGGCTCTTCTGGATGATCAAAAAATGTGTCCACTGTGCCTTGTTCTTCCCATGGCAAGCAGCAGAAAACGTGAGTGAAAGACCTCTTAAATGCAGGGATGTCTGGGACTGGCACACAGATGTCCCCTCTCCTGTCCCTACCTGCCCAAGGAACACCAGAGCACGGATCACCTGTGTCCCAGCAAGCTGCCACTTCCCATCCCTGTGCACAAGGGGTGGGGACAGGCAGGTGACGTTTAGCTGGGGCCTTGGCTCAGAGAGGGGAGGGAAGTTTAACTACAAGCCAGCGCTCAGCATACACAAGCAGGATCACGTACACTTTGGGGCATGGCAGGTGCGCCTGTGCAGGGCTGTGAAACCATAGGTATATAAGCCAAGAGCTGCTCACACCTTCAGAAGTGCTGGATCACAGCTCAGGACCATGTTGTTGGGTCTGAGGCAACAAGAGGTATGGGTACAGCTACCACAGGAGTGACTCCAGGCCTTCTCCAGAGCAATCCTGTGGGAGCTGTGGCAGTGGGGCTGCCAGGGCTCAGAGCAGGAGCAGGGAGCAGTGATGGATATTCTGGTGGAGGGATGGCTGGGACTGGTGAGCCCCCAGTGCCCACCCCGAAGCCAAGAGCAGGTTGGAGTGGACAGAAGGACCATCTCACAGGAAAAGCCCTGTGGCTCTGTGTGGCCCAAACTCTGGGCTAGTGCTGTGGGCTGATGTGGAAGCACCAAGACACAAGCTGGGGCTGAACTTGGTGGCTCAGGCGACTGGGATGCACTGCCCAGGCAGCCCATGCCCTCAGGGAGGGACTCTTTTCATCCCAGAGACCTGCAACATACATTCACAGAGGCACCTGGAGTGCCTCAACCCCAGCAGCTCCCATGTTCTCCAGGGCAGCTGGGATGGAGCTGCAGGTCCCAGCCAGAACCTGGTGTGGGGCAGCAGGAGCTGAGCACGAGGCGTCCCTCAGTAGTAGGCACCGAGGAGGGTTGAGACCTTGCGCAGGAGCTCCTTGTGGTTGGCGTGCAGGGGGATCCTTCTGGGCTAGTGCTGTGGGCTGATGTGGAAGCACCAAGACACAAGCTGGGGCTGAACTTGGTGGCTCAGGTGACTGGGATGCACTGCCCAGGCAGCCCGTGCCCTCAGGGAGGGGACTCTTTTCCTCCCAGAGACCTGCAACATACATTCACAGAGGCACCTGGAGTGCCTCAACCCCAGCAGCTCCCATGTTCTCCAGGGCAGCTGGGATGGAGCTGCAGGTCCCAGCCAGAACCTGGTGTGGGGCAGCAGGAGCTGAGCACGAGGCGTCCCTCAGTAGTAGGCACCGAGGAGGGTTGAGACCTTGCGCAGGAGCTCCTTGTGGTTGGCGTGCAGGGGGATCCTCTTGTCCAGCACCTGCCAGCGGATGCACAGCTCCGGGTCGCAGCCCTGGAGGAACTGCAAGGGGACAGATGTCACACGTGTGCTGCCAGCCCGCTCAACAGCACCTCCATCCCCAACCTCCTGCCTTTCCTTTTGGGGCACGCATTGAGGTGCCGCCCCGTGTTCACCCCCTGTTCTTCCCCCGCTGCCTGCAGCCAGAGTCCTGTGGAGATGTGGCTCTGGAGATGTGGCTGCAGTGCCCAGGGAGCTGTGAGCTGGGCCAGGGAGCCCCGGGGGTGACAGCCCCTCACCGAATTCAGCCGCTTCATCTCCACGTCGTTCTGGGTGTCGAAGTGCACGCTGATGGCCACCGTCTCCACCCAGGCGTTGTCCGTGTTGCGGGGGTCGTCCAGGTACCCCTTGTGCACCTGTGCATGCAGATGTCACGTGAGCAGAGCCCTCATCACCTCTCTGAGGGCACCCTGGGGGTGGGTGGGGCATTGCCCTGCAGCTCTTCTGCCCCACTGGAGGCCAGAGCCTGCCCCTGCTGCAGCTGGAGCCATGGGGAGCCGCTGCTGCAGGCACAGACTCTGCTGTGGGCAGCCCTCCCTCGGGTCTCTGGGCTGCTCCCTGACATGGATTATGGCACATCCTCACCTCCCAGACATGGATTATGGCACATCCTCACCTCCCCTGCCCCTTGCTCTCCGGTGGGAGCAGTGGCCAAGAGGTGATGCACCCTGCCTCTGTGCCCTGGGCCACCCACGTGGCCCTGTGACACCATGATGCCCACATGTCCCCACGCTGCGGTGATGTCCCCACGTGCCTGTAGCCTGATGACACCTGTGTGTCATCCAGGGTGATGCCCACATGCCCCTGAGCCCTCCTGTGACTGACACCCCAGGGACAGCCGTGTGCCCCCACCTCAGTGCCTTGCTTCAGCAGGTTCTGGAACTGGGGCCAGAACTCCCGGCGCAGGATCCACTTGAGCTTCAGGGGCAGCGTCTCTCCTGGCTCCAGTGAGCCCTGTGCCAAGGCAGATGTCAGCTCTGGGGCCTGCCACAGCACACTCCAGCCTCCCTCCCTGCCACCAGCTTGGCCATCGGGCAGTTGCCTGCCACCACTGCAGGAGATACCACAAGGTCTGCTGGTGCCTCCCATCCTCCCTCTCCTGCCCCAAGTCCTCAGCTCTGCCCAAGCAGAGAGAGAGAGGCTGGAGACAGCGGGTCAGGGTGAGTGGGTGAATGTAAGGAGACCACGGCTCCCCAGCAGCCTGGCATGCAGCTGCTCTGCAGGAGGGGCAGAGGCACCTCCTCAGCCAGGCTGCAGCACACACCTGGGATTCCCCCTTTTCTGTGGGATCCCTTCCCTTCCCTTCCCCTTCCCCAGCTCTGGTTCCTGCCAGCCCTTACCCCAGGCAGAGCCCAGACATCTGACAGGGGGTATTGGGCCACCAGAACTTCCAGCATCTTCTTCAGGCTCTTCCTTATAATGGACCCATCCAAGTTCCTCCTCCAGCTGTGGGAGAGGCCCCTGTCATGCTGCAGCTGGCCGTGGCTCCCCCCTGCCCAGCAGCGGTCACGTTGGCAGTGTGGGGTTTGGCAGCTCTCTGAGGTGACCCCATGGCCCCTTTTGCAGCCCTCAGCCCGTGCTGGAGCAGGAACACTCACCGGGTCACCACGGGGTGCAGGGCGTGGTTGGGCCCGAAGCAGTGCAGCCTCCCCCGGCCTCGCAGCCCCGTCCTGCCCATGGGGTTCCTGCCAGGGTGAGAGTGAGGACTCCCTCTGTGCACCCCCAGAACCCTTCCCTACCACTGCATCCCACATCTTTTGGGGTTTTTCTTGGGGGGCCAGCCCTAGGGACAGTGCATGCAGTTATAATGGGATGGATGTACCCAGGCAGCCCTGGCCTCTCCGTGTCCCCGTGCTTTTCCTGCCAGGCAGCTGCTGGGCAGTGGCACTCACAGTGGCAGCCCGTCCTGCACGGTGTAGAGCCCGTGGAAGCTCTGCCGGTCAATCAGCCCGTCCATGGTGTTGTAGTTGATCTTCAGGAGAGACTCCAAGGAGCTGCAGGGTGGGAGGCAGCCCGGCAGGGAGGGCTGGCTGTGCCACCCAGGGAAGGGGGAGAGGGCTGGGAGCCGTGGGGGGACACTCACAGGCTGAAGGGGTCCTGCACAGCCATGTCCTTGTGGTCAGCCGAGTAGGCAGGGGGATCGTAGAGTGGGAAATCCACCTGCACAGCACATGGCTGTGTCAGCCCTGCTTGTGTCCCTGCTCTCACAGCAGGCAGGGGCTGGGACCCCAGAGACACCTTATGGCCCAGTCTCTCCTCTGCCCAGCTCATGGCATCACTGTGCAGATGATACTCCAGGCTCTGCTGGGGGCTGAGCTCAGTCTTGGCTGGAGGGCTCACACCCCCATGGAGGCCAGTGCTGGATCCTGTCCCTGCCCCTGAGCCAGCCGTGCTTCAGGAAATGCAGAGGTGGGTGGTTGTACACCCTGTGTCCAACCAAGCATCCCCAGGCATTCCTAGCCCCGCAGGTCCTAGCAGGAATGGATCCTAGCCCTGTTCTTTGGGGTCACTCAAGCAGTGACTCTGGGAAGCCAAGGGTCCCAGGGCTGGGAAGAACAACAGCTCTCAAATGGGGTGATGGGCTCCTCTTCCCACCACTGCCAGGATGTGCCTCAAACCTTCTCCTGCCAGCCCCACCGCCCGGTGTCGCAGCTCCTACCTCCCAGGGCACCTTCTCATCGGGCACAGGGAAGCGCAGAGTGTGAGACCCCGGGTACAGGAGGTGTCGGGCAAGCACGTGGTACGGGGGCCGGCTCTCCTCGGCTCTCCCCTCCAGGTCAATCTCCTTGGTGTCCAAGGCTTTGGAGGAGCCTGTGAGGCAAACACAGACAGCAGGGTCCCACAAAGCAGGGCACCAAGTCCAGCACTGTGCACTGGGGCCCTGCTGAGGGGGCTGGCTGGGTCTCTCCATGGGGATGTTGATGTCCCCTGGGGCCGTGGACCCCGGCTTCCCTTCTGGCAGGTCCTGGATTAAACCCCGGGGCGGGTGGGAATGGACTCAGGAGGGGCTGGATGACATCATGGAGACACCAAACCTCCCAGGACCAAAGGAACCTCTGCCTTGCTGCTTGACAGAGGGGTGTGAGGGGCGGCTCAGCCCCGGTCCAGCTCCTGGGCTGCCCCGCTGCTGCTGCTGGGGAGGAGCCAGCTCTGCTTACCCACGGGCGGCACATCCTCGCCGGAGCTGAAGCCATTGCCCCGCAGCGCCTGCATCATCCACCTCAGGGCCTGGGCGCTCTGGTGCACCTGCAGGGCACAGCACAGGGTCACCCCGGCCCCGCTGCTCCCCGAGGGCCGCGGGATCCAGCCCTGGCAGGAGGCACCGCTGCCCTTGGCACCGACCGCCGCGCCTTGTGGGCAGCAGGGATCCTGGCAGTGTCCTGGTGTCTGCCTTGGAAACCTTTCTCCAGGGGAATATTTTTACAAAGCAGGTGGAAAGGGAGATGGGAACAGGATATGCCAAGGCTGGGCTCCCTGGACACCCCAGTGCTCCAGAGGGAGGGGACAGACAGTCTCTGTCTCCAGGAGGTCTGGAGGGCCCTCTCAGGCCAAGGAGAAGAGCTGGGTCAGCTCTAACTGTTTGGGTGACCAGTGGAGGCAGTGGCCCACCCTACCGCTTCCCACCTGCATCCTGTTTACTTTGGAGTCAAACAGAACTTTTCCTATAAACCTTTAACCCTCAGATGTTAATGGCAAGGAAACTCAAACTGCCTCAAAGGGTATTGATTCAGAGGGATTCTATGTTCTGGTTCAATTGACTCAGACCCTGGAAAAATTTCACCTTTCTTGGGTACTTGTCCTTGTTTTGCCTCACCTGGTCCTCCAGAGAGCCCAGTCTTTGCTCCACTACCCCCGTCCTCTTCACCCGGTCCAAGTCCAGCAGCTCTGCCAGCGCATCAACCCTGGAGATACAGTGCAGGTTGGAACGCCCTCAGCAGCCACCCCTGCACTGATCCCAACTCTTCCATGCCCAGGACACCGAAGGACAGAAGGAACTTCCTTTCCAGGGAGCAGCCGTACCTCTGTGCAATGTCCCGGATCATCTGCTCCGTGTTCTGCTTCTCCTGGCACTGCTGGTGCTGCAGGTAGCTCTCCTTCAGGTACATCTCCCACGAAAGAAGGGCGGCTTCTTCGTTCTTCTCCAGCTTCTCCTCTGCCAAAGGAAGAGCACGGCGGCGCTGTCACATCCCTGCCCGCCCCAAACCCCAGGAGCACATCCCCTGTGCCCAGCCTTGTGCCTCAGCACGTGGTACCATGCCCTGAGGAGGGGCAAAGGGCAGGGGGGGACGCTGGTCCTCACTGAGCTGGTGGCGCGTGGCCGGCCGGCGGAGCAAGCCCCGCCGGAGCAGGAGCTGCAGGTGGTTCAGCAGGATGAGGGGCGGGGGCGCGGGCGGGCGGCCGTGGTACTCCTGGATCAGGTCATGCCGCTGGAACTTCCAAATCTGGTCCGTGTGCTCCTGGACCTGCTGGAAGGTGTAGCTGGGGCAGAGCCCAGGTGTCAGCCGTGCCAGGGGGATGAGAGGGCACTTCGTGTCTGAATGGTGTCCCAGCTCTACCCAGCTCCCTCATCAGCCCTGAGCTGCAGCTACTTCTAGCACATCTACAATCCCCGAGTGGGATCCCACTATTCCACCACATCTAGAGCCCCCCAGACTCACTTGAACATGGCAATGAGGAGGTTGAGGAGGAGGATGTTGGTGAAGAGCAGGTACAGGCACAGCAAGATGACCGTCAGCCACTCTGGGAAGATGGGTGTCTTGCTGTCCGCATTTGTCTCCGGGCACTTGGGCTTGTAGGGGTCAGTCCCGTTGGGGCTGCACTGGTCGATGTTGAAGTTGACCCCTGTGGGAGAGCACAGAGTGACTCCGTGGTGGCCAGACCTCGGGTGTCTTGGGGAGCACGTTCTGCTCTCAGACAGCAGCCAGCATCCAGGGAGCTTAGCACCAGGCAGGGGCTTGACCTCCATCTGCGCCATCCCAGGTGCTCTGCTCACTGCCAGCTCCGTGGGACTTCCGTGGGCCAGCACGGCATGAGTTTGGTACATCAGCTTGGCCATAGCCACCCTGCTCGTGCCATGGCTGTCACAGCCAGTGTCCCGTACCGTCGATGTAGGAGGGAATCTGCCCAAAGATGGTCAGGTAGGAATGGTAGACCACACCACGGAAAAGCCACTCCACGCGTTCCTCATTGTGGATCAGGATAGCCTGCTTGGCCACCCCAAAGGACACCACCCACACTGCCAGCAGGAAGAGAAAGAAGAAGACATCCTTCATCTGCAAAGAGAGAGGGGAAGGATAGCTGTGTCCTGGAGCAAGCCCCTCTCCAGGATGGGATAACTTGGGTGGCATATCCAGCTGCTGCAGCAGGGTGGTCCAGCCTCACCCCAGCAGGACAGAGGGGAGCTCTCACCATGCGCTTCACAATGATGATCTTGGGCCCCAGTGTTTTACTGACTGTGAAAATGTGCATCAGGCGCAGGCAGAAAATGATAAAAGCCAGGGACAGTATGATGCGCCCAGGATATAAAGTTGATGGGATCAGCCTGGACACGGAAGAGAGGAAATACCTCAGTACCACGATAAAACCATAGAGAATCATTTAGGTTGGAATTACTGGGAGAGAGGTGAGGCCCTGGCACAGGGTGCCCAGGGAAGCTGTAGCTGCCCCTGGATCCCTGGAAGTGTCCAAGGCCAGGTTGGACGGGGCTTGGAGCAACCTGGAACAGTGGAAACTCTCCCTGCCCAAGGCAGGGTGGAACTGGATGGGCTTTAAGGTCCCTTCCAACCCAAACCAGTCTGAGATTCCATGATTCTGTGAAAATACTGTTGAGCTCTGCAGCTCACCTGCAAGTCAGCCCTGCGATGAAGACTAGGATGGCGCAGATATCCAGCTTATTCCAGAAGTCCTTGATGTACAGGGAAGCCATTTTCACAACCCCGAGTCCATCTGGATCATACAACAGCTGTTGGGAAGAGAAAAGGGGCTGGGTGTAAGATACTCATGTGCCTCATAGAGGGGGGAGACCACAGAGATCATCTGGCATCACTGGACACTCTCGCTGACTCTGGGCCTATGTGGTTTTCTCTAGGGGCATGGGAGGAGTATAGGGACATCTGGGAAGGAGCATGGGGACGCCAGGGACATTGGGGCTCTTCAGGCTGGAGGAGAAAGGCACTGAGATGTTGAAGCAAAAGCTGGAAAGTCTCAAATGTCAAGCAAAACCTGGAAATCCTGCTGAGAATTCACCCAAAGGAAGAGGTCCCTCCATCTCCTGACACTCCCAATACAACCACCTCCTGGGAAATGCCCACCAGCCCTACAGCATTTTCTTCTGCAAATGTACAGGGCCAAGCCAGATGCAGCCAAGGAGAATCCCTGCCCTCAGAGACAGGGGATCTGGTGGTTCCACGTGCTGGGACCTCTCAGAATAGGGGGTGACACGAGAAGCAGCATGGGAACATGAGCTGTGTGACACCTCCCAGGAGCACCCAGAGGGGTGTCTCCCCTCCTGTGCCACCTCCCAGCTCCGCTCTGCCTGCCCATACCTGGCGGGTCTCCTCGCACACCAGGGAGAAGAGCCAGAAGTAGATGAGGTATTCCCGCCAGGACGGCCGCGGCTGGAAGTCAACCATCAGCACGTAGGCGAAGAGCAGGAGGAAGGTGAAGTAAGAGAGGGTGTTCATGAGGAAGATGACGATGGGTGCCGTGAAGAAGGCTCGGAGGCGCGCCAGGCAGCCCACGGGCTGCAGCCTCTTCTCCCTGCTGGGAGCAGGGATGGACGTGGGCTCGGCTGCCCAGGAGGTGCCACGGCAGCCGCCCCAGCCAGCCTCAGGGGGAGGCAGGAGGAAAGCCCTGCCCCAGTGCAAAGGTGTCCCAGCTGCCAGAAGTACCTGAAGGCGATGAGGTTGGTGTAGAGCAGGGGGAAGAACAGCATGCAGGTAACCACCCGCCAAAGGCCGTTGTCCACAGACAGCTTCCCCCACCAGACCTTGGTTAGAAAAGCCTGTGAAGAGGGAGAAAGAGGAGTGCTGGCTACAGAGGCCGAAGGGCGGAGTCCCACAGCCACCCATGAGGAACTCTGGATCTTGGGGACACTTGGGTACATTCCCTCCAAGGACCACTGCTGGGAGCCCACCTGGACACCCCCATGGGACACAAAATTCATGTTCTTGGCCTCCAACGCCAGCTGCAGACAGGTTGTCTTCCCCCAGGCTTCAGAGACACGGGTGAGAAGCTTCTGGGCTCTCTCTTCATCCTTGCGGTAGCAGTCTGTGAACACACCTGGAAGGGCCAGTACCAGAAAGACAAGGCTGGGCTCTGGGCCAGGCACCCACAGAGTCACCCTTCTGAGCAGGATCAGGACATTGCACCACACTCTGGTACTCCCTGTACTCCCACCAGTGTGTGGGCATGGCCTTTGGAGCGTAATCCCCAACTGTGAGGATGGGACCCTCATTTCTCACCCCCCAGACATCTCCTGGGTAAAGCTCACCAGCCCTGCAGGGTGCAGGAGCAGCTCTGGGGGCCAGGAGCAGCTCTGGGGGGCAGGAGCAGCTCTGGGGGCCAGGAGCCCTCCTGCTCACCGATTGCCTTGTGCTCGTACTCCTCGGCCAGGGCCAGCATGTCATCGGTGGTGTCCGTGTCCTCCTCCTCCTTGGCCAGCTCCTTCAGGATTTTGCTGCAGGCCAGTGCAGCTGCCATGCAGTCCTGGCTCTGGCACAGAAGAGAATAAGGAAAGCATGGACACTCTGTCTGTCAAGTCCCAGAACAAGCCCTCCGCAGCTCCCACAGGAAGGAAGGAGGGTGGCCCAAACAGATCGGTGCTCAGGATGGACAGCTTGCCATGCCTGTGGATAACCCACTGCCATGGGAACAACCCTGCCCTTGGCTGATGAGACAGAGTGACTCCTTGGCATGTTCACTGTGCCAGCAGCTACACTGCCTCTTGTTCTGGAATGCTGTTTACGAGTGGAAGCCTTCTCCACCCCAGCTGCCGTGCTCCTGTGGGCTCTCTCAGCCTGACTAGCCCACTTCTGGCCCAGCACATCCCCTCTGCCTTTTTTGGCCAGGAAGGGAGGGATCTGGCCTCATGGCATGGCTGGGGATGGACACTAAGTGCCCTCAGGCTGGCTATCTGGCTCCTGTTTGGCTGGGGTCAGGCTCAGGACAGCTCTCCCACTATCCCAAATACCAGCAGGTTCCAGGGGCTGTGAGGTTTGGCTCCATATGAGCCTCTCTGGGCTGTGATACCTGGGCCCAGATGATTTCTGCCAGCTCCCTGCGGTTCTGGACCACGGCCCAGATGAGCAGGTCCCGGACGGGGTCCATGGTGAAGGTGACTCGGCCAGGAGAGCGCTTGTAGAGGGACCGGAGGCTCGAGCCCTGCACCTGCAAGGTGTGCAACGCTCAGCACAAAGCCACTCAAACACCTGGTGCTGCTCCAGCACCCACGGAAAGGACTTTGCCCTGGTAGAGGGGTGGCCAAGACTGGACTCATCCTGGGATTTTCACTTTTTCTAGGGCTGGGATCAGGCTGTGCCCCCACCCCAGCGGGTCCTGCCCACCAGCACCACACATCCACACAGCGCTACAGGTGTAGGGAGCTGCACCTGGAACGCAGGGCAGACAACTAAAAGGCACTTTCAGTATGATTTCTGAGCAGCCAAGAGGCCACAGACCCAGCTGCAGCCTCCAGGAGAGCTCCCTGAGGCAGTGTGCCCTCCCTGCTGCCCGCGGGGACCCGGAGATGCGTACGTTCAGCTTGATGTGCGGGACGGGGATGGAGAGCCGGGGCCGCTCCGTCTGCTTGGGCTTGGGGTACAGCGGCTGCGTGGAGCAGCCCAGCAGCTCCCGCAGCACCTGCGAGACGTGGTGCATCTGGAGCCTGGGCGTTTTGGAGCCGGCTGTGTGCTCCCTCTCCTCCAGCAGCACCTTCTGCAGCTTGCTGTGGAACAGGCAGGACGGCGCCAGGTTGTCGTAGAGGTAAACCAGGGTGTCCCAGGTGACAAAATCCTTGAGGCGCACTCCCTGCTCCAGGAACAGCTTCACAAACTCTGGCTTGTTGGAAATCAGGGCAGCTGCCATCACGGGGTGGAGATCTGAGGGCTGGCAGGGCAGAGGCAGAGGTGAGGGCTCAGAGCAGCACCCTACCGTGCTCCTCACTGGTGGCAGATTTTGTCCCTGAGCACATGAGGAGTCTTTGGATGTGAAAGAGCACGTGGCATGCACTGAAACTTGTGGGACACTCCCAGGAGGTTAGAAGAGGGCACTTTCCCGTGGCAGTGGAGCCCTCTGCCCCCTTGGCTGCTGGGCAAAGGGATGGGTTGGGCAGAGAGCACCTATCCCAAGTTCAGGAATATCACAAAATCACAGGACAGTTTGGGTTGGAAGCTCATCTCCTTCCAATCCCCTGCCAGGGACAGGGACACCTTGCAGGTGTCCAGGTTGCCAGCTTGACTTTCAACATTTCCAGGGATGGGGCATATATCCCCAAATGTTTCACTTTAGGGTTCCTAGCTCCCACCAGCCCTTCCCAGTCTCATCAAAGGTGTGTGAGCTGGGGGAACCCAAACGGTTGACTGCAATAGGAAAATCCCTTCCAAGTTCCACAGCCCCATCAAGAAGGACAGACAACCCTGCTCAGCCTTGGCTTCTCAACAGCAGGATCAGGCAGGGATGGCCGAGCTGGCCCCTGCCCCACTCTGTGATAAGATATGAGCAGAGAAACACCAGGCTGGGTGAGATGAGTTTAGAGACAAATTGACAATTGTTTGAACAGTGACCACAGGGCAGAGCTGTCAAGAGGTATTTTAGGTTCCAGGTGTGTCTTTAAAAACACTGGTTTTGAGCAAAATAGGAATTGTCTTTGTGCGTGCTTAGCTCTGCTTTGGGCATTTGAGAGCATTTTTGAAGAACAGCCCCAGTTAATGCACAGGGGAAATCCCTTTAAAACTCTCCTGGGCACAGCCAAGGTGAGAAGTGCCTGGCAAGCTGTAAGCCTGACCAGACAAGCAGCACAGGTATGGCCCTACCTTCCAGTCGTGGTCATCTGTGAAGATCTCACTTCGGGCAATGTCCACCCTGTTCCAGGCCACGGCCAGCTTCAGCTGGTGGTCCCAGTTCTCACGACCAAAGTGGTCCTGGTTTCGGGATGCTGCATGCAAAGTGCACGTGTTAGAACAGAGACCACCCAGTGAGCAGATACCACCTGGGGGCCTCCTTGGATGTGTGGCCCTTTGGATAATCATCTCTCCCCAGTAACAAGGTTTGGGGACTCCTTTGGTGACCCCATAAGTCAAGCAGCGGTAGGAGGTGCCTCGACCCCCATCCTGTTCCCCTTGCCCCATCCTCCCAGGGAGGCCCCCACCCCTCACCTTTGAAGAGGGCCTGGAGGATGGCCACATCCACGTCCTGCTGGCCATATTTGCCCTCTCTGAAGATGGTCAGGAGCTGCCGGCTCCGCACTATGTCTTGGATCTGCAAGGAGAGCCGAGGGCAAGCAGTGGGCAGCAGCATCTCCTCCCTGCTGCTTCCCACAGGCCCTGCACGGTGCTGGGCAATTCCTCGCTGCCTGCAGAGCCCCTGTGCTGTGTCCTCCACCATGGGCTGGCCACAAACACTCCCTCTCTGCCCAAAGGGAGGAGGCAGTGGAGGAGCAGAGCCTGAGCCCTTGGGGTGCCCAGCAGGACAATGACGAGGGTGGCTGGGGGCAGATGAGGCTTAAACTTCCCACTGGGACCCTTGCTGCTCGTAGCCAGGACCCCTGGCACCTCTTTGCTCTCCCAAAGCTGAGGAGCCTGCAAGGCATTCACCTTCTTGGTCCACTCCACCAGCTTGCCCTCAGTGAAGAGCTCGTAGGTGTCGTGGAAGAGGACACTCAATTTCCTCTGGATCAGGGCGATGGTGATCTTGGCCACGGGCAGGCTGGCCACCTGCGCGATGACATCGGCCACCCGCCCCGACCCTTCCACAACCACACAGGGGGTCCCGTTGGTGATGGCATTGTAGATGGTCTGCAACAGAGCGGGGAGGTTGCTCAGGACCCCAGCCAGGCCCTCTCTGAGCCTGGGACCCTCTGCTGCTCCCAGCGCTCCTTTCCGTGTGGCACCAGAGGGAGCAGCGCCCTGGGAAGGAGCTGTCCCTCCTTTGCCCCCTGCCTCAGCTTGCCACAAGCAGTTCCTTACATCAAGAGTCCCAGGGCCTCCTTCCAGCACCACACACACGATGGGGATTTTGATGGCAACACCTGCAGAGAAGCAAAATCCAGAGTCACCTTCCCATGGGGCCGATCCCCTGGTATGGTCTCCTCTGGGTGGTGGAGTGTGAAAGGCAAGGTGGGAGCAGTGTCCCTGACGTCTCAGGCTTCAGGGGAGGGGAGGAAAACCATGCCCTGTGGTTGTCTGGCATGGCAGGTCAGACATGTGATGGGATTTTTGGGGGTGCTCTGTGCAAGGCCAGGAGTTGGACTTGAGGATCCTTATGGGTCTCTTCCAGCTCAGGGGATTCTGGGGTTCTGTGAGCACATGTGTGCATGTGTTATGGCAGGAGATCACCTGCACAGTGAGAAGATGACACCTGGAAACTCCCTTGGGACCTGGCCCTCTGGGAGAAATGACTATCTCTGACCAGCTCAGCATCCCAAGGTGTGGGGACTCCTTTAGTGATCCCATAAGTCTGGCAGAGAAAGGTTCTTTGATCTGTGTTGTGAAGGAACCAGGTTCCACGTTTATCATAGCAATGCTCTCAGCCCCTGTTCCTGGATCCTCTGGGGAAGCCACAGCCCCTTGCTGGAGCCCAGGAAGGACACCATTCCAGGGGGATAGCCCATTCCTGCCTCAGGCCAAGCTGTGTGCTACCATTACCTCCTTTCACCTTGGTCTGCTCTGAGATGAACTTCTCCAGCCTGGTCCTCAGGGGGATTTCCACCCCGTACCTCCCGTGGGTCCCGTCATCCACCAGGATGAAGTGGGAGTGGTTGCTGTCCAGGCAGGACAGGCTGCCTTGGTTCTCCTCATCCAGCACGTACTCAGCAGGAAAGCCCCCCTGTAAGGTGCAGGAGGAGACACTCTGGGAGAAGCCTGGCAGAGGAGCAGCTGATAGCCAAGGTAACCAGCACGTGGGGACAGGAATGGGTCAGCCTGTGGGGACAGTCTGGCTAAAATGTCCCTGTGCCCCCACAGTGCTCACATCAGCCCTGCCCCATGCTCCACTGGCCCTCACACCCACAAGAGTCCACCCAGGAGAAGCACAGAACCACTGGGTAGGGCGGAGTGGCTTCTCAGCAAATGCCAGCCTGGGACCATCCCTGGAAGAGTTGGGTGGCTCCTGGAGCAGCCTGGTCTAATGAAGTGCTCCCTGCCCATGGCAGAGGGTGGAACAAGGAGAAGCACAGAACCACCGGGTAGGGTGGAGAGGCTTCTCGGCAAATGCCAGCCTGGGACAATCCCTGGAAGAGTTCAAGCCAGAGGGTGGAACAAGGTGAGCCATAGGGTTCCTTCCAACCCAAAGCATTCTAAAGTTCTATGCCCGTCACTTCTGGTGCAGCTGGGTTTTCCTGGGCTGCCTGGCTCACCATGGGGCAGACGAGGCTCTCCCGGTTGTACACGGTCCCCCAGGTGGCAATGCCAATGGTGACAATCTCGCCCTCCTTGTGGCTGCAGCTCAGGATGAAGTCTCGCACTGCCTCTCCCACCTGTTTCATCACACCAGCGTGGGACCCCCCTGTGATGATCCAGGCTCCTGGGGGTCACAGAGGGGCATGGCAAGGGCGAGGCTCTGCCCACAGTGATCTCCCAGCCTCCCCCATATGGCCGTGGGTCCCTGAGGTGCTCCATCCCCCAGAAGGTGTCTCTTCCCTGCCCTGGGAGCACAGGCAACGCCTTCTTCAGCACCTCTCTGAGTCCAGCTCCTTTTGAGCCTCTGTGCAGTGACTGAGCAGGAGCAGCCCATCCCTGGTGATCGTGGTCCAGGTAGGGACCTACAGGTCTGCTAAAGGAGCTCAGCATCACCAGAACAGCCCAGCTTACTGAACCTGGCATGGCCAGCTACAACCACAGGGAGGCCCTCTGCATCCAGATGACCTTTAAAAGTCCCTTTCAACCCAAACTATTCTATGATTCTGCAATTTATTATTCTGTAGTCTCTTACCTGTGGTCTGGGCCACCTTGACTAGGCCTTGCCGGAAGATGTTCTTGAGCCTTGGCTTCATGACGAAGTTTTTGGCTCCCCCGGTGACTGAGATGAGCAGGTTGGGTGGGTCGAGGCCCCAGTGCTGTGTCATGAGGTGGTAGATGACCCGTGGGGGGGTGTCCGAGGAGACGCGCACGTACTGCAGGAAAAGGGACCACGCACACATTTGGGTATAAACAGCTGGGTCGGGGTAACCCGACACCTCCAGCACAATTCCTCCTGTCCCACCCCAGAGGCTTCCCAACACCATTCCACAGCACAGTCCTGCTGCTGCTGATCCAGGTCTTTGTCCAGGACCCTATTCCCCTTCTCTTTCCTGGGAACAAACATTCCCCAGACAAATCTAAGGGCAAGGACAGGGAACAGCCACTCCTTGAATCACGAGTCTTGTGGTTTCAGAAGGGGTTTAGGGCTGAGAGGAGAGGTCCTGTCTCAACCCCTCCACTGCCTGAGTCACTGTTGCCTTTGGGGCAATTCCATCCTTTCCCAACATCCTCTCATCCAGGAGGGAAACGCTCCTCTGCCATCTGCCATGGGAGACCCAAACACTGGCTCCCCACACACCCACGGATGGGACAAGCAGATCACCTTCCCTGTCTTCTGCCCCAGCCCTGTGAAGCGGATATCACCGAAGGCATCCGTCGGCATTTCCTGGATGTGCCTGCTGGGGTCCCATTCCTTCCCCAGGAAGATGGGAGGTTTGGCAGCATCGTCCAGGTGCTGTTCCCTGAGATAGCCACACTCACAAACGATCCTCCTGAAAAACACACCAACAGCTTCATGGAGAGCAGCTGAAACCCCACGGGCAAAGCCCAGCCCCAGCCTGGGCAGGAGGTGCCGTTCTCCTTAGGGACAACACGGGCCCCACATCTCCCACCCAGCTGCTCCTCCAGCTCAGAACTTGTGCAGAAACAAGGGCAATGTCTGGGGGGAAATTAAGGGGAAAAAAATCCAAATATTCCCACTGGTAGAGATTTAGGACAGGAATATTTAGGATGGAAATGGCTGCCTGCAAAAGCATTGGAAATGTTTTTCCCTGGGACATGGAATCTCAGCCATGTGGTGACTCGCCACATGCTGAAGAACCATTTAAAAAGAGGGTTTTGAATCCCTGTGACAGAAAGTTGGGATTTTCTGGTGCTGTAGCTGTATCACCAACCCTCACTTCTGCTCTCCTGAAGGGGAGGGAAGGAGGGAGTGTTTCGCTTACCCAGAATCTGATGTCTGGGAGCTTTCCACAAAATAGGTGCATTCCTTCTTCCGGATGTTTTCAGGAATCCAGGAGATGAGATTTTCCTGGTGGAGCAAGAAAAGCAGCAAGGGGTCAGGCTTTCTGGAAAGGCCCAGAAGTTATTCCAGGGGCCAGACACCGAGGAGATGGGAGCACATCTGGGTGCTTCTTGGGGTGTGAAGGATGAAACTCCATCGCTGTCTGCAAGGACAAAGCCAGATGCACTCCAAGGAGAAGGGATATGAGCGCTGGACATGTGCCTCAGATGTCTGGAGGTTTTCTGTCTGTCCCTAACACTAACCCGATCAGTTATTAATGCTCCTGTTAGTGAGCCACTCCTTAACACTCCTTCACGTGCGTGCCCAACTGTCCCCTCTCCCAGCACCTCCTGAACTTGCCTTTTCATTGTTGCCCGCGGGGAAATGCGCCTTCCTCCTGCTCCTTGAGACACTGCTGCTGCTCTGCTGCAGGTTGGGCACCACCTCGAAGTCGCTCATCTTCTTGGGGTGTGTGGCAGGGTCATCTCCCCTCTCGGGGCACACCTTGTTCAGCTCGGAGGGGAGCACCTTGGCGCACCGGCCGCGCGCCGACATGGCTCCTGTGTCTCGTGCTTCTCAGCCTCCTTCCTCCTGTTCCTAGGCTGGGAGCTCCCAAACATCCCCATCCTGAGGAAGAGAATCAGAGAATCCCAGAACAGTTTGGATTGGGAGGGACCTTAAAATTCATCCCCCTTCCAAGGGCAGGGACACCTTCCCCTCGAGCAGGTTTCTCCAAGCCCTGTCCAACCTGGCCTTCAAAGAAAAAAAGGATGCCCATGAACTAAGAGCACTGAGGTGCCCCATCCATCATTGCCAGGGTGGAGATTGGTCCATCTGCCATCCCCTTGCCACAGTCCTGACACAGGGTGTCACCACGTGTGTGGTGACCAGCCTCAGCGTGCACCATGCTTGCCCCACCACTGCCAGCCTGCCAGCCCTCCTCACCTGCTCTCCACTGCAGGCAGCTGGGATATTTCTGGCAGCAGGGAGAGCAGAAACTAGGTCTCTTGTGTGAGCAGCCTGAGCATGGCCCTGCATGGAAAATCTGGGAATATGGACGTGCTGGCTGCAGAGACCAGGTGCTGGAGTCCTGTGTCCCCTGCAAAGGTGCCCTGAGAGCCCCAAGATGCACGAGGGCTTGCTGCAAAACTCCTGAGCCTCCCTGAACACTCACAGCCCCCTTTGCTGAGATGGGAGAGCTGCTGGAGCAAAGGTGGAAATGCTCCTGGGGTCTCTGGAGCCCAAGAAGGGTGATGTCCTCCCAGGAGAGCTGGGATTAGGTAATGGAGGAAGTACCAGACTCAGGTGATGCTCTGGTCAAGCTGTGGGGTCTGTGTTTAAGGAGGATTTTGTCTGCTTTCTTCAAGCCAAATCCTGCATTTCTCCCAAGGGTGGGGAGTCCTTGTGGGGACAAGGAGTGCTGACACTAAATCATGGAGTGGCAAGGAAAAGCTATTTTATCAGCCTCCCTCTTGGGATCCCCCACAGCCCCACTGACCTTGGGAGGCAGATTTTGGCAGGCTGGATTTCTGCATCAGCACAACCCCCAGCAGATCTGATTTTTGGAGAAGGAGCAGTTGAAATAAGGTCAAATACACTCCTAATTCTTGTTTGTGGCCCCACAAGGCAGACATGCTCATCTGCGGGGCATGGCCACAAGCAGCTCATAAACCCATGCAGGAAGGGTCCTCCAACACCTGGAATACCTGTCCGTCCTCCAGCACCTGGAATTCCTGTCCTTAAGGGCTCGGGGACAAGGGCAGAGCCTCTCCCGCGGCACACGCTGCCTGCCGCCCAATTTGGGGGGTCAGGTGTCCCCTCGGTCGCAGCGCCCGGCAGGACGGAGCGCAAGGCTGAAAGCGGCCGTGATCCTTCGTGCCCACCCGCGATCCTTCGTGCCCACCCGCGGTCCCTGCTGCCCCCGCTGCCCCCCGCCGGGGTTCCCGTACCTTCCGTGCCGCATCCTCCGGCCGCATCCCCGGCTCCTCCGCTCCGCGCCCGCCACAGCGGCTCAGCGCCGTGTCCCCGCGCTCCGCCGGGTCATTTTGTCAGCGCCGAGGAGCGGGGAGCAGGGCAGAGCTGCCTGCAGAGAGGAGGAGGCGGCAGCCGGCTGGCAGCTTCCCAGCAAATCAGGCTGCAGGAGCGATCCGCGCCGCGGAGCTGCAGCGCCCAGGCGGGTCCCGGGTTTGCTGGAGCGGCTGAGTCACCCTGGCAGTGCCCGCAGCCAGCCCCAGCCCCTCGGGCAGATGTCAGGATGAGGTTACCGAGGGGGTCAGAAGCGCCTCTGCCCGAATTAAGGTGCAAATGTCACTGGCACCTACGCCGGTGACAATGGTATGGGTTTTGTTTGGTAGTGACTGTGGGAGAGAGAGAGGGAAAGAAAGAAATAGGAAATGGGGGGACAGAAAGAGTGTAAGAGGGAGAGAACAAGACAAATATCAGCACACTGTGGATCCCAGTGATGTTCTGCTGATCCTCTCCAGCTGGTCTTCTTGGTGGTAAAGGTCCCCCCAAAAAGCATAGAATTCAATGGTTTAATATGTGCTCAGGCCAGGTAGGAAAATCAGGCATTGTCTCTCACAACAGATTTTGGGTTTGCTGCATGCCGTGCAGTCCTGTGGTGCAAGGCTTCAGGAATGACTCTGGGGGGCACTGTGGGGGGCCTCTGATGGATTAATGGATTAATTAACCTCAGCTGCCTCTAACATTAATGTCCTGTGTATGTGGCATTCCCGGGATTGGGGGTTCCACAGCCAGTCTCTGTAAGGGAGGATGGGTTCACTGCCCCTGAGCAGAGGTTACAATGCACCAAAACTTCCTCCCCCCACCTCGGGTTGGGGGGAAATCTGTGCAAACCTGCTCCCAGCAAATGGGTCTGTGGGCTACGGCCTCCCCCACCCCGAAGAAAGCCAGAGATGATTCTTAGCACAGCTGCTGGGGTTGGCTCACACTCTTTTCCTTGTTTACTTGGTTGTTTCAGGTGATTGAGGAATGGGTTTTGTCCTGGTGGTGCTGCTGGAGGCCCAGGTGTGTGGCAGGCTTGGTAAATGTGGTGAAAAATCCCTTCTCTGAATGTCAAGCTTCCTTTATAGTACAAAAGTATATTAACTTTATGTGTATATAGATACTATATATATTAATTAAACACTGTGATATGAAGAAGCAGTGGAGTTTTATTGAAGACTTTGGTATTGTTCGTGCTGAAGTAAAACAAACAGCCCAGCCCAGAGGATTTTGCTTTTGGGGGCTTAGAGCAGTCCCCGAGGGATAAAGAACGGCTTTATCCCTGGGATGACCGAGGTACTGCAGCATCCCAGGCTCTGAGACCCTCCCAGCCTTGTCTGGTGTCACAGCTCAGTCACTGCAGCCAGAGGGACTCAAGGACACCTGGATCCATGGACGAGCAGGAACACAGCGGCTTTGCCAAGTTTTACTGTGATTTGAGATCTGTTAGTGTGGGTGTCAGTGCTCAGTCAATTTGTGCTGTACCCGAGCATGTGATGGACATAAGAACTTCATAAAAAACCCCAGCTGGGTGCCCTGATTTGGCTGGGACATCTCATGCCCATGAATAAATGTTTACACTTTTAATTCCAAGCTTTGCATCCCAACCTGGCACCTTGGTTGGTGTGGACTACAATGCGAATTTTTGTTGAGGAGCCTCATGTCTCACCACAGGCAACAAAAGCCTTTTGGATGGTGCTTCCCTCATCCTGTGATGCTCTGTGCCCTGAACGAGCTGGCTTCTCTGGTGGATTTGCAGCCACTTAACTTGCATGTGCCATGACATTCAGTTAACAAACCCAGCATCCGTTTATCCTTGGGAAATGTGCTCAGCAGCAAAGCCAGGCCAGGCCAGCAGCCAAGGCAGAGGATGCTGCAGCACTGATTTGGCTGCTGTGGCTCAGCAGCAGCAAACACTGGGGAGCCTGGGCAGCTGCAGCTCTGAGTGAGCGGAGGGTCCTGCACAGCATGCCCAGTCACCCATGGCTCCTGCTGGAGAGGAGAGCTGTGTCCAGAGGAGGAAACAGATGTGAAGGGCCTGGAGCACAGGCCTTACAAGGAATGGCTGAGGGAGCTGGGAAAGGGGCTCAGCTGGGAGAAAAGGAGGCTCAGGGGGACCTTTTCGCTGTCCACAACTCCCTGACAGGAGGGGGCAGCCGGGGGGGTTGGGCTGTGCTCCCAGGGAACAAGGGGCAGGACAAGAGGAAGTGGCCTCAAGCTGTACAAGGGGAGGTTTAAGCTGGATATTAAGGAAAAATTCCTCATTGAAAGGCTTGTCAAGTATTTGAATGGGCTGCTCAGGGCAGTGGTGGAGTCACCATCCCTGGAAGTTTTCAAAAAAATGTGTGGATGTGGCACTTGAGGACATGGTTTAGTGGAAGTGCTGGACTGATGGTTGGACTCAATGATCTTAGAGGGCTTTTCCCACCTTGATGATTCCCGGATTCTATGATTTTTCTGATGGTAAAACATTGTGGGGCAATGCTGGGAGACAGGTGGGAAGAGAAACGCTGCTGGATCTCAAACACAGCCATGTCCTTCAGGTTTGGGGTGAAGCTCTGTGTCCCCCTGGTGCTGTGCTGGGCTCAGGTGCTGGGGAGAGGCACTAAACCACCAAGCAGGGTGAAAACGAAACCACAGTGGTGTGCTCACCTCCCTCAGCTCACTTTCCAGCCCAAGGAGGTGAGTTCCACTGGTTTCCCTGAATGAGAGCAAACAGCTGAGCCACTTCTGTGGGAGAACAGATGCTGCTAATAAGGCAGTAAATAAACCCATGTGCAAGGCTTTATAGTTGGGTTGTAATTACCTCTGCAGTGCCAAAAGGGCCGACGCCAGGGCTGCACATTAATGACACATTAATGGCAGCGCTCATCCGCTCTGGGCTGGCTGGCTCCCCAGAGACCAGCGCTTTTATTTCATTTTTGCACATGCCAAAACCACCGTGGTCCGGTGGGACTCGCCTGGAGCCAGCACTGGGGTGGTTCCCACTGCTCCTCCTAAAAGCTCTGCTGGAAACCAGCAAGGCTGAGAGCAGTTCCCAGCAAGTTAACATCCATTTACAGAAGTGGGAGCATGGAGGACTGGCTGTGCTCCAGGGGCGGTGCCTGCACACACATCCCCTGCCCCAGGTCCATTTCAGCCATAGGGATGGTTGGGATCCAGGATGCTTTTTCCTGCCAAAGCACAGCAAACCTCTTGCCAGTGCTGCAGAGGTGGGATCAGCCTCTCACTCCAAGCCTCACTCAACCGTGACCCCTCTCCATGCTCCCAGAAGCGTCATGGCACTGCCTTGGCACTGCTGGGAGTGCCACGGGCTGTCCTGTGTTCCCAAGGAGGAACCTCGCTGCAGAGCATGGACCATGCCCATCTCCTCAGGGGGGAAGCCATTCCAATGCCCTGCCTTGGACATGTGACTGGTCTGCCAGAGGGAGGTGATCCCTCCTGCCTCTTTCCTCCATACCCTAAAAACACCATTTGGATCCCTGAGCAGCTCCCATGAAGGATGCCTCCTTCCAAGGGATCTCTTACAGCCAGCCTGGGCCTCCAACAGGAGGGTGCTGCTCAGGGGGAGGTGCTGGGAAGCACCAAAGAGCCACCTCCTGCTTGCCAGGGTTTTCCCACCTACACTTCCAGATTTCCATCGTCTCCAGGGCAGAAGGCACAGTGAGGCTATGGTCGCCCTGAGAAGCCTCACCCCGTGCTTGGCCGCCCTGGCTGGGGCAGACACAGCCCCCAACACTCTTGACACCAATGTTTGAGGGCTGTTCCTGGGAAACAAGGTCTGCCAAGGCAGCAGGGAGCTGTGGGCAGAAGCTCAGTCCCAATGCCAGGAGTTCTGCAGCCACCTGGCTCATGGAACGGGATGGAGCAGGGTGACAATGAGGACCTGGCACCGTTTGGGATGCACAACCACCACACAGCTCCTGGTGAGGCCCCAAATGGGGAAGGGCTCTGGGCTTCTTCAGAGGAGACACCCTGAACAGGTCTGTCCCAGCTGCCCCTTCTCCCTCAGGCAGTGCCCTTCAGCTGGTGACTATGCCAGGGCTGCCTCCTGCCGCTGTTGTGGGGTGAGGGAAGGAGGGTCTGCCCCAATCTCCATCTCAGTCTCTGTCCTCACCTTGACCCTCCGGAAGAGCAGGCACTACTCCTTTAGGAATCTGCTGAGAAATCCAGGGGGCTCTCCCCTTCCTCTTCTCTTTCTGGGCTGCTCTTATCCCCCCAAGAATAAGCAAAGCAGCACAGAAGCAACCCCTCTCTTCCATTTTCAACATCCACATTGTTCCCTCTCCACCAGTTCTTCAGCCTTATCCCACCCTCTGCCCAAGTTCCCACTGCTGTATCCTTCCCTGTCCCACAGCTCCCACTCCCCCAGTCCTGCACTAATGAGCAAAGGAGCAGAAGAAACCAGACGAGGCCCTTCTTAGCATCCTGGTTTTCATTTCAGAGGGGCCATGGAGGATCCACATCAAATGGGATCCAGGGGAGGAGGTGCACGTGGTCCCGAGGCCAGCTCTTCTCGCCCGCTCCCTCGGTGGCCACGATGGACCTTCCTGCCCCGGCCCGTTTCCGTCCAGCTCCTCCAACACCCTCTGGACACGCTGCTGGAGCCCGGGGGGGCGCGGCGCCCTGTCCCCATCGGGGAATGAGCAGCGCCGGCCACCTCCAGGAGCTGCCTACTCCTCCTGCTGCTGCCGCTGCCGCCGCTGCCCCTGCTGCCGCTGCTGCTGCCGCTGCTGCTGCTGCCGCCCCTGCTGCTGCTGCTGCTGCCGCTGCTGCTGCCCCTGCTGCTGCTGCTGCCGCTGCTGCCGCTGGCGCCACCGCGCCACGAAGGGATGGAGGCGGCGGCGGGGGCGACGCGGGGCCACCGGGGCCTGGTTCTCATGGCCCTGCAGCAGGCGGATGCTCCCGATGGGCCCTTGGCAGGTCGGGCAGGTGGCGGCGGCGTCGGGGGCAGCCTGGGGCTGGATGCAGGCGTGGCAGAACACGTGTCCGCAGGGCTCCACGGCAGCAGCGGGGCTTTGCAGGAAATCCACGCAGATGCGGCAGACCCGCACGACTCGTGGCGCTGGTGCCTCCTCCCTGACCTCGGCCATTGCTGCTCCCGGACTTGACTGCTCTCAGCCGCTGGCAGGACTCGAAGGCTTGGCTTCCACTTGTGGAACTCAGTGGTTCCTCAGTCACTGGGAGCACTCAGAGGTTCCTCAGTCGCTGGCAGCACTCAGAGGTTCCTCAGTCACTGCTGTCACTCAGAGGTTCCTCAGTCGCTGGCAGCACTGGGAAGCTCCTCGGCTGCTGTGGGTCACAGCCTGAGTGCTCTGGCACTGCCCAGCGCTGTGGTTGTAGTTACCCACTGCAGGAGAGTGATCCTGACTCTGGTGACATCACAGGGTTCTGAGGAGAACACTCAGGAGCTCCCCCATCCACAGAGACAGATCCTGTGGCACAAAACCCACCTGGCAGTGGGCTGCACACCTCAGTGTTTGCCCAGATCCCTTCCAGGTGGTTCCTGCTGGGGTGGGGCTGTGCCACTCTTACACTCACAGAGTGACTGGGGCGGGCAGGGACCTCCAGAGGTCATCTGGTCCAAGCCTCTGCTGAAGAGTCTCTGCTGTAGGCCGGCAGTGATCAAAGTCCTTTGCCTCCCTCATTTTTGAGGGACTCGGTGACAGATCTCACAAAGGTCAAAGGCTGCATCCTGATTCCAGAGTTGGAAATTGACAATTGGAGATTGAGTCCCGCTGTTAGCACTTTCTCTTGCTCGTTGGCTCACAGCTGTCCTCCAAATTCTTGTGATATTCTGCACTGAAGTCTGGCCCTGACCTCCCACACTGCAGCAATTCCCTCAAACTGCTGGACAAACTCCCAGAGCAAGGTGTAGGTGCTCCCTCTCGATATTCAAGCCAAGTTTCACTGGACAGGCTCTGCAGTTCTCAGAGTCTTTCCCTGCAGTGCAAATCCATTCCAAAACCTGTAGCTTCCCCAAAGTTCTCCAGGCTGTCCAGGAGGCTGGATCTCCACCACAACACCCACTAATGAACAGGCAGCACAAATCCCCTCCACGAGCACTGCCGAGCAGCAGGCAGCACACACCACCCTGCAGTCACACCAAAGACACAGCCATAAAAATAAAAGCTTTTTATTTATTTTTTTTATATACCATTACAGAAACATCTGAGTAACATTCCCAACAGGATGGGCAGCTCTGGGGCCCAAGGGACGAGCGCAGGCAGCCAGCTCCAGGGTCTGCCATGCCGTGCTCCTGAGCTGCTGCTCTTGGTGCATGACGTCCTTGCTCCTTGCCCTCAGCGAGGAGACCCGGCACTCCTGGTGTCAGGGTGTCACCTTCTTGTAGGTGATGTGTAAGTGCTGAGTCATGGGCTGCGTAGTGGTTGCCATTGAGACAGTTTGTTCGAGTTTCCCATCGGAATTGAGCCTGAATTTTCTGGTAATCTAAAGCGGGGGGAGGAAAAGGAATAAGGAAATCGAGCAATGACTGTCCACATGCTGAATCCCTTACCTGTGCTTTCTTCCCTTTGCCATCCACCTGCCTGCTGTCAATGCACCACTAAGGAAGGACAGCCTCACTACAGAGGCAAATAAACAAGGAGTTTTCTCTCCTAAAGAAAGCAGCCCTCTCCACAATACCAGCTCTAAGCAATTATCCATGGAACAAGGCACGTTCACAGAATCACAGAATTAGCTAAGCTGGAAAAGATCTTTGAGACCATCAAGTCCAGCCTATAACTTGATACCATCTTATTAACTAAACCATGGCACTGAGTGCCACATCCAGGCTTTTCTTAAACACCTCCAGGGACAGTGACTCCCCCACCTCCCTGGGCAGCCCATTCCAGTGCCTAATCATGTTTTCTGTGAACAACTCATTCCTCATGTCCAGCCTAAACTTCCCCTGGTGCAGCTCTTGTCCTGTCACTGGCTGCCTGGGAGAACAACCCTTACCTGGCTACACCCTCCTTTCAGGGAGTTGCAGAGAATGATGAGGTCTCCCCTCAGCCTCCACTTCTCCAGGCTAAACACCCCCAGCTCCCTCAGCCACTCCTCACAGGACTTGTGCTCCAGACTCTTCACCAACCTTGTTGCCCTTCTCTGGATGTGTTTGAGCATCTCAACATCCTTCCCACACAGAGGGGCCCAGAACTGGACATAGCACTTGAAGTGTGGCCTCACCAGTGCTGAGTACAGGGGAAGAATGACCCCCCTGCTCCTGTTGGCCACAGCATTCCTGACACAGGCCAGGATGCCATTGGCCTTCCTGGCTACCTGGGCACACTGCTGGCTCATGTTCAGCTGCTGCTGACCAGTATCCCCAGGTCCCTTTCCACCTGGGCACTGTCCAGTTACCCTGTCTGCAGCGCTGCAGGGGTTGTTGTGCCCAAAGTGCAGGACCAGGCACTTGGACTTGTTAAACCTCATGTTGTTGGACTCAGCCCATCTATCCAGCCTGTCCAGGTCCCTCTGCAGTGCCCTAATACCTCCAGCAGATTGACACTCACTCCCAGCTTGTGTCATCTGCAAATCTGCTGATGGTGCACTCAATAATAACTCCAGCAGACTGACGCTCACTCCCAGCTTGTGTCATCTGCAAATCTGCTGATGGTGCACTCAATCCCCTCGCCCAGACCATCAGTGAAGATATTAAACAGGACTGGGCCCAACACAGATCCCCGAGGGACACCACTGGTGACTGGCCACCAGCTGGATGCAGCACCACCCCCACCACTCTGGGCCCTTCCAGCCAGGCAGTTCTGAGCCCAGCAGGGAGTGCTCCTGTCTAAGCTGAGGGCTGCAGCTTTTCCAGAAGGATGCTGTGGGACACGATGTCCAGGTAGACAACACCCACAGCCACCCACAGGTGGGTCAGCTGGTTGTAAAAGAAGATCAGGCTGGTCAGGCAGGACCTGCCCCTCCTACACCCACACTGGCTGGGTGTGAGCCCCTGGCTATCCCATAGGTGCTGTGTGATGGCACTCAGGATGAGCTGTTCCATTCCCTTGCTGGGCACTGAGGTCAGGCTGACAGGTCTGGAGTTGCCCAGAGTTTCTTTATGGCCCTTCTTGTGGATGGAGCCACACTGGCACCCCCAGTCCTCTGGGACCTCTCTGGTGAGCCAGGACTGATGGTAAATGATGGAGAGCAGCTTGGTGAGCTCATCCAGCACCTCCCTCATGCCCCTAGGGTGGATCCCATCTGGTCCTATTCACCTGTGAGCATGTAAGTGTCTCAGCAGGTCACCAGCTGCTGCCTCCTGGATTACAGGGGGGACTGTTCTGTTCCCTGTCCCTGCCTATCCACTCTGCAGGCCAGCTGTCCTGAGGATGACCTGTCCTACTGTAAAAACTGAGGCAAAGAAGGTGCTAAGTACCTCTGCCTTTTCCTCATCTTCAGTTAATATATTCTCCCTGCATCTAACAAATGGAGGTTGTCCTTGCCCCCTCCTCGTCCATGAGTAGCAACAGAGGCAACCTTGCCATTAAATTCTGTTAAGCTGTGCTTTCACAAATTTATATTAAATCTGCATTGATAACACCTTTAAAGGTGATTCTTCAAGCAACCTAAACCACTCAGGACACAGCCTGGTGCAGGAAATGAGCCTTCCTGCCTCAGTGACAGCTCAGCCAAGCCACAGCCACCCTGAATCACTTTTCACCAGGAATGCAACAATATGGTGAAGTTTTCTCAAAATGAGCAACTACAGCAGCAGCACACATGTCCTTCTCACAAACCTGTGGCCTCTTTGTTTCCACAGGCAATTTAAGCTGTTCTTGGGGAAGGAGAAAAGGCTCTGGGAGCTGGTTTCCTGACAACTCCTCTCATTCCACATCCTCCTTCACCAGCAAGGGCCTCCCAGACACTCACTAGGACCAGTCCCTGGGCCTGAGCTTCCCACAGGTGCCAGATGAGCACAGACCTCCAGCCCCAGAGCTTCCTTCTTCCAGCCAAGGCCAGCCTTGGAGCCCTCAGCTAGGAAGACATCTGCTGGCTTTCTGTGCTTTGCCCTCTCCTCCTGCCAGTCTATCTGCCCACAGTTCAGGCAGTGGCTCAGAGGACAGTCTCTTCTATTTAAATGTTTGCAATCCAGAGCTCTGCCTCCCTGCTGACATCCACAGTATCTAATGCCTTTAATTCTGCTATGGGAAGGACACAATACAGCTGTTCCTGGGAAAGAGGAAACCCAACAACTGAAAATATGCATCCAAAGGCAGGGGAGTTGGGACTTCCCAAAGTTAGGACACTATCTGTGTAGGCAAATCAAATTTTTGTCTACATCTGCACAAACTTGTGCTCTCTGCTGTCTAATGGTCAGTTTTATAGCACACACAAACCAGGCTGTGAGAGCTTGTTCAGCCTCGCTGTCTCAGCTGCTGCTCAGCCACCACAGCTTCAGATGTGACACTGACACTTCCAGAGGTGACCTCAGGATGCCACACTGACTCCAGCAGTGCCACTGCACTCACAGCTGGCTGTACCCTACCAGCTGTATCAACAAATCCCCACTACACACCCAAAAAAGTCAAACTCCAAAAGCAGCCAACCAAAAGTGGAGCTGACAGCAAGTGCCAGCCCCACCCTGCAGGCACAGATGGGAAAAGAGCCCAGAGCAAGGTCTGAATGCCCTGGAAAGCAAGAGAGCAAGAGCTGCAGGTGCTCCTGAAATATCCTCGTGAGGCCCAATACTGACCACACCTTAAATGTGCATCCTCATACTGCAGTCAATCCAGAAAACTAGCATTAATAACTAATCCCATTGCCATAAAAGAGTATTTACTCAAGACTTTCCTCTTCTTCCCTAAGGACATGCTACTGGCCATTCTGGAGACAGGATTCTGGGTTAGCTGGTCTGATCCAGCCTGTCAGTTTTTATCACAATGATCCCTCTGGGTCTCATAATGTAAAAAATCTCTTCTGAAGGCTCTTACAGAAAGAATAAGCCAGGATGCCATGCAGTACTTCCAAGAACCCCTGATGGCATTCTGTAATTAAAGCATGCTAAATAACATCCTCCCAACTAGACTTCTCCTGGGGCAAGCAGTGCTGTGGGAATGGCTCCCTCTGTGTGCACTCACCTGCTCTACATGGGGCTTCTTGGCAAAGGAGATCCTGGCTATGGAGTGAGAAGCTATAGACAGCTCTTGTCCATTCACCTCCCCTTCCTCCACCTCCACCAGACCTAGGGAAAAGCAAGGGCACACATATTATTAGGCTACAAAATTTATTTAAGCATGTCACAATTATTATTTTGACCTTTCAGTACTTAAAAGGAGGCTTATAAATAAGAGGAAGAGGGACTTTTTACACATTCAGACAAGGACAGGACAAGGAAAAAGCTTTTAACCTGTAAGAGGAGAAATTTAGGTTAGATATTAGGAAGAAATTGTTCCCTGTGAGGGTGGTGAGGCCCTGGCACAGATTGCCCAGAAAAGCTGTGGCTGCCCCATCCCTGGAAGTGTTCAAAGTCTGGTCAGACAGGGCTTGGAATAACCTGGTCTGGTGGAAGGTGTCCCTGACCATGGCAGGGAGGTGGAATGAGATGGGCTTTAAGCTTCCTTCCCACCCAAACCACTCCATGCTCTATTAGGCTACTTAACAGACCAGTACTCCCTGTGGAGAATGGTTTAATTTGCCCTATTTATTTTTATTTATTGACAACTGGAGATCAGACATGGAATGCTGCTCACAAAAATCCAGCTGGACTTACTCACACCGTGTGCGATGAGTGCCACAGCACAACTGGCACTCCTCCCTTCAGCACCTGTCATTTTAGGTGCAAACTTAAGCATCAGCTGGGGTTTAAACTTTCACTTATAATAACTGAGATGTGGTTCTCTCTCATTCAGACATCATAAGGCAAGAAGCACCAAGGTGCTGCACCCACACACCGGGAGGCTCTCCTAGTTTAGGAACCACCCTGGGTCCAGCACCAAAGAGCAGCGATTCCAACAGGGCAAATTAATTAAATAAAACTGTGAGAGGCGCAAGAACTTTCTGAAAAAGTGATGAGATGGCCCAGCAGGGTAAGAAGCTCTTCTTTTCCCCAGTGTGGGTATCAGGAGTGTACCTGTGTTCTGGGCACTGATGAAGGCCACCTTGTTAGTGTCAGGCTTGAGGCGGATGAAGCCACACTCGCGGTGCATGGGCTTCCTGGTGTCCGGGTGGAAGGCGTTGAACCTGAGGGCAAACAGAGCACAAATGCTGATGTGTTTTGCACTCAAAAGGCATTTTTTGCCCTGGTTTCCTCTTATTTAACCACATGAGTGCCTGCAGTACTCACTGAAGAGCACAAGACTGACAACACTTCACGGTTGAGATGTAAACCTGGAAAAATACAATTACTTTCCAGAGGCATAGCTATTTCTTAGAGCTGGAGTTAAATCTTTAAGTTCAAGCTTTAGACTTTCCACGAACCCTGGGTCTAAGAACTAGCTCAGAAACCCCTCAGGAACTCAGATGTTTCACAGATGCTGAAGCCACATGTCTCAAAAACTTCCTTTTCTCAAATAAGTATCTGGCATTACTGTATCATCCTTATTTAGCTTTTACACCTGGAAAAGTTGTTTTTTTCTGTATATTCCTTGCCATAGGAAGCAACAGAGCAAACATATTTCTCCCATCACCCCTTTCAAAAAGATAACAAATTCAGCTCAGACTTATTTATTCTTCAGACTCTTATTTATTCTTAAGAACTGTAGGTTTGGTCACCCATATCATGGGTGATTATACTTATCAAAGGAGAAACAAACTTAAATCAGGCAGCCTTCAGTGCTTGGAGCATTTAAGGCATACAGGGACTGTCTCTTAAGAGCCACTGCTCCAGGAGCCAGGAAAGCACAGGGTGTCTGTCCTTCAGGACTGCTGCCTATTTTCCTGGTGCTTCCTAAAGCTCAGCAGCTCACAGCTGTGTAACTCCTTGGCACAAAGAAAAGGAGGGGCAAAAAAAGAAAGGGGACTCAAGGAACTGTTCACAAGCTGGGGAGGGAGGTGCAGCCAGAGCAAGACTGTCAGAGCTTTGTTTCTTTTGGAAATTGGACTAAAGCAGTCACAGGCTGAGCTGGCAGCTCCATCACACTCCAGGAACACAGGGCATCTCTCACACAGCACTTCCATCCTGTAAATCTTCTTCTCTTGGTTTTCAAAGCAACACACTTTCCAACTCACCCCTCCTGAAGGAACACTGGAGCACTACTGAGCAGCAGCCAAATTGTCACTTCCTCCCTCTGGATTTCTTTTGATTTTTCTTAGAACAACCACTTGAAGCCAAAGCAAGTAGTTAAGCTACCTGCCTCCTGTCCCACATGGTCTGATAAGCACTAATTTTTCTCAGATTTTCACAGTGGTGAAGACTGAGGACCACAGCTTAAAATGGAGAAAACTTGTAGCCATGCCATAGCTCCTTCATTTATTCTAAGTGGGAATTTCAAAAAGAATGCCAATTAATCACAAGTTTTTGCCTTTTCTGATTCAGAGACGGGGCAACTGAGAGGTGTTTTAAAAACTTTTATTCCATTTTCAGTTTCATGTGAAGTGTGAGTCAATACAGATGTTATAATTCGTGCTATCTCAATCAGAAGCTAACTATTTCTTAATTACAATATATTATAAGCATTTCTTGGCCTACCAGCTTTTGCCACACTATGTTGCAAATGCCTTAAAGCTAATCATCTAAAATTCCCCTTCATGGGCCACTGTAATTGGCATTTGTAATGCCATTTAATCACAAATTTTCAAGGAAAATCAAAGTTAGACCATGCAGTCACATACCACAGCATTATCTTGTTTGGTAGGTGAAAATTTATGTACTTTGCCATTGGAAAAAAAACCCAACCAACAAATCACCCTGGAGCCATGCCTGCCCCAATCCAGCAGCAGCTGCCAGCCCAGGCAGACCCCCTGACTTACGAGAAGTTGAGCATGGGCTGTCCCACGTGAGAGATGTGCACTTCCTCCAGGTACTGGAAGGGCTTCATTGTGGGGAAGGTGCCATCTCCTGGTGGGTCTGAGAGCCAGGTGCCCAGCATCCAGGACAGGGGTTCCATCACAGGGTTCAGCTGGGGAGTCTCTGTGGAGGAAAAGAAAGAAGGAAGAATGAAAACTCAAGGATCTGTGCTCTGCACATTGCTGTGAGCTGCCTCCAGCTGGCTGGAGGTGAACACAAAACACCTCAGGAATGGTTCAACACCACAGCAATGCTGTTCTTCAGAGCAGTGCCAGCTCCAAGGGGGGAGATGGGGAACAATGAACAGTCATGGAAAGTGGGTCTGTTTCCAAACCAGCTCTCAGCCATACATAGGGCACTCGTGCAGGTGGTCCACTTCTGACTCCTTTCTGTAGCTTGAACTGAAAGAAAAGCCCCCTTCCATCTATGTGCAGGGAAGAAGATGCCTGAAACCTCAGAATAAAGAATAATCATTAAATGATAATGAAACCTCTAACACTCTGGGCTAATCTCTCCCAAGCACTGAGTACACACCATTCCTGTTTGTTTCAGAGGCTGAGGAAATGAGTCCTCATTTCAAAAGAAAATCAGGCTGTGTACATACTCAAGATCAAAGTTTGGCTATATTTTTAAGAGGTTGACAATGGCCTGAACTTTTACAAAGAGACAAGCAAGGATCATTCAGAAGCTGTTCTACTAAGGCTCTGGACTAAGGCAAACATCTTAAAAATACCTGGGTGCCTGTAAGGCAAAGAGTAAACAGAAGAGAATGATACTTCCCTTTGTCACTGCAGTTATGAAAAAGAAACCAAGGTCTGTTTCACAAAGGTAAAACTTCTTTAACAAATCATTTTACAGAACCACACTATAAGCTGAGCTGGAAAGAACCCACAAGGCTCATCAAGTCCAACTCCTGGCCCTGCACAGGCCCATCCTAAAGAGTCACACCATGTGCCTGGGAGCATTGTACAATGCTTCCTGAACTCTGTCAGGCTTGGTGCTATAGGAGAGTTTTGATAAACAGTTTAGCATTTTACTTTCAGAGGTTGTGACTTGAAAAAAATACATCAGGAAAATGGAGACAGACAATTTAAAGCCACGTGAAGAGCAGAGCAGATCCACTACTAAGGTGTAAGTAGGGAAAGCAAAACATCACCCACAGGATGTTGGGAAAGATGGATTCCCACACAAACTGGGTGCTTGCTACTCTCAGTAGTCTGTTATGCAGAGAAATATGACTGAAGTAAGCTTAAAGCATGTCCTCTTCCCCCTCATGAGATAAATATTTCATACTGGCAAGGTGGGCGCTGCAGGGGGGTGTTTCCACTCCTAGTGAGATCAAGAATAAAGAACAAGCTGCCTGTCTGGCTGATCTAAAAGGCACAGACTCAACTGCAGGCAGAAATCACAACCTAAAAGAAATAGACTGTGGCCAAAATTTGCTTGACCAGTCTGAGTTTCACTGTGCTCTTTATGAAATGTCAGGCTAAAAGACTGAGCAAGGAGGAAGGACAGTCCACACCTGAAATGCCAAAGGAGAAGGAAGAGCAGCTTTCCTGGGTAAAAGAGGCCACTTGTGGTACTCATTCTCCCACAGAGAGCACATTTGAGAAGCCAGCCCATGTCAGCAAAGTGCTGCTACTTTGCTTCATCCTGAAGTATTTTGCAGGGGAAGCAACATGAGGAAACATGAGAGCTCACTAGGAAATCATGATAAAGGTCTACAGCATCTGAGCCAGGATCTGCAGAACACCCTGTCAGACTGTGCAGTCCCCAGCAGCTTGGAAAGGGCTCCCACAATCTGTACAGCAGTGTCAGTGTTCTGGGCAGTATTCCCTTGTACTCACCTTTCCAGTTCCATGAGGGGAGCACACAGTTCTGTGGATAAGGAGCATACTGCTCCTCCCTCCAGCTGATGTTTGCCTTTCACTCTCTGCTGCATTTCTTTCCAAACTTTTTGCAAGCTCATCTCCCATGATGGAAGAGAAAAGTAAAGCTTAGGAAAAGCTGCAGGAGCCTTCAGCCTGGGCTGCTGCTGCCCTCTCCTGGGTCAGCATCCCAGGAGCAGGACAGTTTCTGTCACCACAGTGCTTTCATAGGGCACTTTCTTTTCTCCTGCTTGCACTTCAGGAGAAGCATCAAAACAACAGATGAAAGGAATGGCTGCAGCCATTCCCACTCTTTAGACTTGATTACAAACCAAGAGAAGCCAAATGATCATTTCCAGCACCCACAGCTTGATGCCACTGCCTTCTGTGCACCTTCTGGAGCTGCCTGACCTGGTGAGCTGGTCTCACTTCCAAAGAGCTGGAATTCCAGCCAGCTGAGAAGTGAAGATGGAACTGTACATCCTGAAGTCTCTGGCACTTGGGCAAACAGCATAGCCAAGTGATCATTATTACTTTTCTAAACTACCTATATGGCAGCAAAGCTAAAGAGCTCTTTAGTTCTCATGTGGCTTGCAAAAGTCAAGAGCAGCAGAAGTGAATAAGGACCAAGGGCTCAGTGAAGTGCAGTGAGTGCAGACATCCTGATCTCATCCCATGCTCTTCTTACCTTCAGTGTTGGTCTCTGACTAGTGGACTAAGAATTTTTTCTTTCCTGGCTGGAAGGCTGGGCTGGAAGAGTGGAAAAGCAAGAGGGGAGGCAGACAGGAGAGAGTCTGATTGAATCCACCAGGAAAAAAAAAAAGCAAAAAAAAAAAAGCAGCTATTTGAAAAGCAATTTGCTTTTTAATGTCATGGGGCAGGTAAATGCAAGACTACTGCAGCAACAAGAAGTTCCATGCTGAGCTGCTTTGTTTCAAATTTTAGGTTTATAGATACAGTCACTGATGAAGGAGCCTGTATATACCTTTTTAAAGGTCTAATATACCTTTTTAAAGGTCTAAACTCCTAGCAAATAATTTTTACAAAAACCCCACAAATGTGGCTTAAAAGGTAACTGTATGATAAGATCAAGAATACAAATGACATCTGAGAATTTGCAGCACAAGAGACCCTGGTCACCCTTCTACACACATAAAGCTTCACCCTCAGAGGGGATCCTCTTAAATGCTGATTCTCTTGCATTCATATGCACAGTTCCTCTTTTGCCTACTAACAGGGAAGCTCTCCCTGCATCCTCTTTCTTAACAAGGACATTCCTGCAGTCACTTTCTCCTACACTTTCTGGAAGCCATTAGGGACCCAGCATCTCCAAGATCCCATTCCTCTACTACCTGGTGAAGTGGAAGGCGTCCCTGCCCATGGCAGGGGGTAGGAACAAGATGAGCTTTAAGGTCCCTTCAGCCCAAACCATCCTGTGGTTCTACAAAACCTCACTGAAATGAGCCATGACACTCATGAGTTGTAACAGTCTGGGAGACAAAACCACACACCCATAAGCAACCTGATCACCTTGATCTCTTTCCTTCAGGAAGTCACTCAGGCCACAACCCCCATGCCCAGGCCCTGAGCACACAGGTCACTTCCATTTCACCACCTGACCCTGCTCCACCCCTCCAAACTCACAGGCAGACTGTTCCTACATCTTTTCCATTCCCAGAGAGTTTACAAGCCAAATCCCACCCTGCACTGGAACTGGCTGTCCAGGTTTTGCCCCAGGAGATCCTGAGCTCTCCCTGCTGTGAGACAAACCAGACAGAGCAGCTGGACAGCCCCCTCAGGCCACGGCTACACAGTGTGGCTTTCGAGTGGGATCCCTGGCACAGAAAGCTAAGCTGGTACAAATTCCTACACAGCTTTATCAGTAAAGCCACAGGGAGGGGCCAGCTGGCTGCTAACAAGGCAGCTAACCCGTTTCCTTGAGCTGGAGAACACTTCCTGCAGAAAACTTGAGGGAAAAAACTATACAAACAACAACAACCACATCCAAAAAATGCCCCAAAAAAACCACCAAAAAAACCCCTCAAAAAACAAAAAAAAAACCCCAAAAATAAATCCCCAAACAAAATACTTGAGTCTTCAAAGTGTGGGATCTGCAGCATCAACTGGGCAGTTCCCTAAAATTCTTCCTTCAGCACAGTTGCTAACTGGGTTTAAAAGAAAGCATTACACACCTTTGCCTTGTCCCTGTCCCTGTTTGTGAGGTGATCATTCTCATCCTGGAATGGGGCAATGATATTTCTAAACTCCTTTTTGCCATTTATATATTTGAAAAAAAAAATTTATTGTTCTCTGCAGTTTTGGCAGCTTTGACTCCAATTGAGCTTTGCCTGTATGAACTTTCTCCCAACAGTGGTGAGCAGCATCTCTATGTTCTTCCCACATCACCTGACCTTGCTTCTACTGGGCATCTTCCATCATTCCATCTTATTTCCAAGAGAAACCAGCCAAGCCAGCCTTCTGCATCACCTGCTTGACTTCTGACATTTAGGAATTGCTGTTCCTGTGCCCTTAGGAAATGATATTTAAAAGTGACCAGCACTGACAGACCCCAGCACCTGCAAGAACATTTCCCAGGGGACCTTACTCACTAATTCCCTGAGCAGCCCGAGGTCTGCTCTCCTCATGGCCAGAGCTGAGGTTTTCCAGGCACTTTTCCTCCTGTCACCAGAGATTTTAAACTCGATGGCTCCGTGGTCACTGTGGCCAAGTCGGCCCCAATGTTCACTCTGCTCATGAGATCCTCTCTGAAAACAAGCAGGAGATCAAGATCATCCTTCCAAATCAGCTCCCTGAGGACCTGTTCCATAAAGTTGCCATGCAGGTGTTTTAGGAGCCTTCTGGCCCGGGCTGTACCAGCTGTGAGATGCTCCCACTTAATTTCTGGCAGGTTGAAGTCCCCTGGGGCAGGTGACTTGGAATCATCCCTTAATTCCTCAAGGAATAATTTGTCAGTGTCATCATTCTGGCTGGGAGGTCCAGAGTAGACTCCCACAGTGCAATGCCAAAATTTGTTTGCCCCTTAATTCTTATCCAAAGGCTCTCAACTGTGCCACTGCCAGTTGTGAGCTCCAGACACTCCAACCCTTCTGTTACACACAGTGCCACCCTCTGCCCCTCCTGCCCTGCCTATCCCTCCTGAGGAGCCTGGAACTGTCCCTCAGGGCACTCCAATCACAGGGAAAACTCCCACCAGGTTCCACTTATGCCAGTGATGCCAGTTCTCTGGGACTGGGCCAAAGCCTCCAGCTCCTCACTGGTCCCTCCTGCTGGGTACCAATGCAGAGACATTTCTGGTGTGGTACACTGTGACCAGCACCTGGTGAAGCAGATTGGGGGATCCCATTAGTGCTCCTTTCCTCAAGTTTAGGCACTCCAGCCCACTGCTCTTCCCTGGTGACCCTGGTTTTGTCCCTTTCCTCTTTCCAACCTAGTTTAAGGCCCTATCAACAAGCACTCCCAGCTCCTGTGCTAGAACATCTTTCTCCCCCAAGAAAGATGCATCCCACCAGGTGCCAGCAGATCAGCTGTTGAACAGATCATCCCATCTCTGCTCCAAAAGCTGGGAATTTGGTTATATTCACAAATGTTCATGCTATAGACTCAGTAATTGATTTCATAGCCAAGTACCAAGGTGGTAATGCTCCAGTGCCTGTAGTCATTGCCAAAGTTCTGCTTTACAAAAGACAGAGAAAATATTTTTTAAATTCTACTCTATTATGAGAAACCAAACATCCTACCTGAGCTCAGCCTTTCTCTCGAGTTTTCCTTAGTTTGCTGTTTCATTGCTTCCTAGCTGCAAGCTGGGCTTTTGTTGTGAGTCATTGCCAACTCACTGCAAAATTAAATGCTTAATGCACAAACTCTGTAGACTGTTAGGCAAAAAAACCTGGAAAGAACAAGACCATCCCACTGAAAAAAAACCCCAAACCAACAGCAGTGCAAAAAATCTTGTTTCCTCCCTTCCAACTGCCTTTCTCTCCAAGGGGGAGGTCAAAGAGCCACCTCCCTCAACCAAGTCCCAAAGCTGGCACGCTGTGCTCTCATGCTGAGCACAAAACAGTTCACCTCCCACCCAAGTGTTCAGGCCATGGTGAAATCTCTCAAGATACCTTCTGCCATGGATTCAGCCCCTAAGCACACATATCTCACTCTCAGTTTACTTTACAGCTCTCTTGCTCTTCGCAATGCCTACCCTATGGACCAGTTTTCTACCCTGGCCATTCCCACCCCAGACAGAGCACAAAAAAAAAAAAAATCACAAGCAGCACCTGCTGTCTGAGAATAAAAACAGTTTTTTTCCAAAATCTAGCTTCAAGTTAACATACAACTGCAGGCTAGCAGTGCCTGCCCCGGTGGAGGCAATTTTCCTGACAGCACATCTCTGTGACCCATCAGACACATTTCAGTTTCAAGCAGAACTGGACACCAGCCCGTTGCTGGTCCAGTCCTTCTCAGACAGGTGAAAGCACAGCACCTCCAACCACGCACAACCCCACTTCTCATTGCCAGTCAGGAACAGGATTTTGCTTTTCCTTTTCTGCAACATGAATGAAATCTGTTGCACCACAATGGGCAACACCACTTCAGGCCCCACAGACCAGGCCTCAGGACTCCACCTCAGCACAAAATCACACATTAAGTGCTCCGTCCTTCTGCTCACCCGAAGTTTGCCAACTATGCTTCATTTGCATGTAAAACGTACTGTAAATGACCCCATTTCCACACTGGCTTTGCACAGATATTCAAAGACAAATCCAAGCCAGATTTCCCAAGGATTCCTAGCAGAGTTCTAGCCGTTTTTCACAGGAACTCATTTTGCAAACTCTCCTGCCTTTAATATGACCTTCATGAAAAGAAACATGCAGCATGGAAGAGGCTCCTCATACCCCCAAGCAGCTGAATTCTAAGAGCTTTACCTCTCTGCTGAACATAGAAACTTGAATCCCATGGAATCCTACCTGTGTCTGCTCCATGCCCAGCCATATTTGCAGATATTTTGCTATTTGCTCTACCTGCAGCCCCCCCGCCCCAGAAAGCGCTCTGCGCAGGGTGATAAGATGGCTATGAGGGAAGTGAGCTCATGTTTGGGTAGGACACCGATCCTGCTGCCTGCTGGGAGATGTAGTTTTATAACCAGACCAAACTGGAGCACGGCAAGAGGAGGAGGTGTTGTGGAAGGAGCTGCTGGGACCTCCTGTCTGAGTGAGCACAGCTGACACAGCAGAGCTGTGAAACCTTCCTGCAGAAGGAGACGCTCAGACAGTGCTTGGGTAGCAGAGGACAGTGCTGTTAGGACACCTGTGACTTCTCCAGGACACATCCCTGGTTGCTTGCTGGATCTCCCTCATTTCTCCCAGTGCATCCAGAAGCCACATCTCACCCTGCCCTGCCTGGTACACCGTGCCTAACCATACTCATCTGCCAGCAGCGTTCCTCAGCCTTTGGTCCGTGGACCTTGTGAAGCAGAAGGAAATATTTTCCTACCAAACAAACACCTAAATTCAAAGTTTAGATGGAAAAGGCCACCATGGCAGCTGTGCTGTGCTGGAAACAGCCTGGGGCTTCTCCTAAACCAGTCAATGCCCCTGGTTAGACAGGTTAGGAAACACCCCTCAAGCACACTGTGACAGCTGGAGTTGGGAGCCACTTGCCCAGCCTGAGTCCTCCAGCATCAAGCGTGGCTGGCAGGCAGTGCTGTGCAGCAGAAACCTGCTCTTCCCAGCCTGCTGCAGCTTGGATACAGCCAGCAGAATTTATTTCTCTCATTAGACGAAAGTATGTGAGAACCAGCACCAGAATGAGATCCTGCTGAGTGGGTGTGGACCTAAGTTCATGTTTCGTGCTCAGGATTTTGTGGAAACAGCTGAACGTGAGGGATGCAGACAGGTAACAACCTGCACAATCCAGTCAGGTACTTACACTCAAGGAACTGCCTTTAGCAGAAAAAAATATGCTGGCTCAGGTTCACAGCTAAAACCATCACCTCAACCACACACCAGATGAGCTGGGACAGCTGAGACAGGGCTGCTAACAAAGACTATTATTAACCTAATGTGTTGCCTGACTGTATTTTTATGAATAAGAAAAGCCTTGCTTAACTCAGCTTTGTATTACAGTAAAACTTGGTGTCTGGGCATGAACCAGACTCACCTGGCTGCACTTCATCAGCTATTTTCACTGCCATACACTAGTACTACAAGCACACCAAAAAAAGAGTCCAAAACAGAAAAGCACCAAGACGAAGCTAAAAAAAAAAATAAAAAAATCCACCAACCAACCCTTTAAAAAAATTCCCAGCTAAAGGGTTCCATATAAACTCCCCATCATGCCAAGCTACAATTGCCAAAATGGTTCATTTTCACACACTGATCTCCAGTTTTGTTGATGAAAGATGGCAGAATGGGTAATGAATTGGTCAATTCATTAAGGAAAATTACGTTTTCCCTTATAAAATAGAGCATATATGAAGAATATCTTTTACAAGAATATAAAATTTTCACTTCTCAAAGATGTATCTATAAAAGCACTAATCCTGGGAAAAAGGAGAAAAATCATAGTGCTTACCAGAATAAAAAAAAACATCCTTAAAGATACTCTTTCTGCAATTAGTATCTCAGTGAAGGTATTCCAACAAAGGCAGACACCTTTTTAAATATATGTATAAATAAATATTTCATATACATACATAAATATATGTATATACATGAATGACAACTATGGAACCTTAAAGTGGTATTTAGTTATTTTTGTTAGTTTGACACCTAAACAATACAAAAGGACAGACCAGAAGGTACAACAAGATGATGCTGATTTCCCAGGGGAAAGCTTTTCCCCCTCTACCCAAATAAAAGTGTGAGTTTTCCCATACTTTGAACAATTAGATACATATGGGAAAAGTAGTGCTGGGTGTTGACCTTCATGAATTTTAGAGTCTTTCCAGTGAGGAAGCTGGCCATGCTGCAACAGGCTGGAGAATGTGTCTGCCTATGCCAGCATCACTTTTCTGACTGCCCAACAGCTCCAGAAGAAGCCATGGAGTGTTTCTCCTAAAGGAAAGGTGAGAATTAGCCATCAGGAGACACCCAACCCTCCAAGGGTGACAACTTCTCCAAGCAAGCCCCACATCACAAATCCTTTCCAAGGCAGCCCAACGTTTTCTCAGCAGCCACACACACACCACCATCAGATGGTCCTAAACTCCTGCTCTGAAATGCACCTTGCAACCACAGGCACTGTGTAAACATTGTACATTAAAAGACATTTTTTTTCCAAGAAAGGTTATGGCCCAATTTGACTTCTAGGTAACAAACTTTTTACATGACCTGATCCCTCACCGAGTTCCCTTACGCTTTCAGGTGGTTAATTATTATTTTTGTAATTGATAGAGAAACATCTTCCATCACTCCCTACTTTATTACATTTCCTGACTTCTTCTGCCTTCCAAGGGAGGAAAGGATCAAAGCAAAGACAGACATTTGCTCACAAATCATGACCTCAATGTGCATCATGACATTGCCATGTTTGACACCTCCCACCTCACTTATATTTCCTGTATGCTCAGTACTGAGCGCATTATATGAAATCCAATATCAAAACTATTTCTTATGCCACTGAGGACAGTAACAGCTTTCCCAGATACCTGCTGCTAGGACAGCTCATTAACACACCAGAAAAAAATCACAGGCACGTGCCAAAGGAGAAGGAAAATCCTAGCAGGAGCCACTGCATCACAAACAAGTTAAAATAATCCAGAAAGAAAAGAAAATAAATTCATCAACAGAGTTGCCTGCAACACCACAAGCGAAATTCTGATTCCACATCTTGGGAAGGTTAGGGATGTAAGAATTAACTTGTGTGCCCGCTGAGTGAATTCTTTAACCTGCATCCATTGGTCTTACACAAGCTGCTACTTCTCCTTCCCAGAGTGTCCCTTTCTCATCCCTTTTCCCCATCACACCTTCACAGCCTCCAACTTAAACAGCCCCTAGGAAAACAGGGAATTCCACCTCAGAGCAGCACCCCTGGGAATACTGACCACAGTCCTGGGATATCAGGCTGTTCAAGTAAGGGAAACTGTTCCGCTTCATCTCATTCAGCTTCTCCTTCAGCTTCCTGACTTGGCTGTCGGAGCGGCTGATCCTCTGCCTCAGGAGCTTCAGCTCTCCGTTCTTCTTCTCCACCTGCTCCCGCAAGCAGCACACCTGGCTCTTGCTCTGCCGCGAGGAGAAGCAGTACGAGTGCAAGGAGTCGATGAGCTTGCAGGCCCCCGAGGCCGACATGATCACCTCGTTGATGGACATGGGGTTGGCGTCCGTGTCGCCCTTGCGGCCCAGCACGGCCTCGGCGGCGGGCCGAGGGGTCAGGTCCGCCGGGGACGCCGACACAGCCGGGCAGGGTTTCTGGGGGGTGGCGGTGAGGGACGACGTCGGGGACGCTTCTGCGACGGCCTTGTCGTGCCCCGAGAGCTGGCTGCTGCAGCTCGGCTCCACGTCTCTCTTTGGCCTTTTCCTTTCTAGCTGCTCCTTGGGGAGAGACGGCCTCTCCCTGGCGTGCTTGGAGGAAAAGCTGTACGAGTGGAGGGAGCCGATGAACTTGCAAGCACCGGAGGCAGGAGGGGTGAAGTCGTCCACGGACACGCCGCTCCTGTCTGCCACCCAGCTCCCCGCCCAGCTGCCCCTGGCACAGTCCTTCCCAGGAGACCTCTCGGGCTTTACCTGCGCCCCAGGCTTCGCACCCAAATGATCCCCTAACGTCCTCCTCCGAGGGCCGTCCAGCTGGCTGTGGAGGGCCTGTTCCTCCTTGGACATCGACCCTATTTCCTCTTTCAGAGCGGCCTCCTCCATCTCTTTCGTCCCTTGCATCACCATGAAGTCCTGGCCAGGAGATGGGGCTCTGTGTGCTACCTCACCGCCGCCTTCCTGCGGGGCCTCCCCATCCTGCACCAGCACCTGCCTGGCTATTTTCCTTCGGCTCCTGACATAATCCAGCTTGCCGTGTTTCTTCTCCGCGAGCTGGAAGATGGTGGGGACAGCAGTGGGCTTCAGCAACCGGTGATGGTCTTCCAGCCGCTTGAAAAAACTGTCTTTGGTGAAGTGCTCGCTGCAAAGGAAGGAATACTTGGTGGGAGTCCAGTTGTCTCTCTGAACGGCTTTCAGCCACTGAATCAAGCGCTTCGAATCCTTCAGAGGGAATCTAAAAAGGGAACAGAGAAAAGCCACTGAAAAATAAGCTACGTTTTGGAAATCAGGAGGGTTGGTACTTTAAGAATTACAGAACCATAGAATCATAGAACTGTTGAGGTTGGAAAAGACCTTTAAGGCGACCAAGTCCAAGGCGACGGCTAAGTTTAGGAGATTTCGGGGAAAGTTGTGTTTTGGTAAGCTGCACTCATTTACGAATTAAATTACACTCATTTAAGAATTACTTCACTTTAGGCTGAAATATCTGATATTCATTCACTGCGTCAACAGCTCCACTTCACAACAAGCGTAGGAAGCGTAGGACTATAAGGTGTTGTTTCCATTTTCATCAGCAATCGATCCATTATTCCTCTCACCAGCCCCACGAGGAACAGCCCGTCCACAAGGAAGGGGGACGTGACCACCACCAAAACAGCCAGCTCAGCCAGCACGCTGCCCAGCGTAACCCGGCTGCTTCTTACGCCGGGTGTGCTTAACAACACTTAATTAGGTGTAGCAATGCCTGCAGTGCAAGCAAGCCCCTGAGCAGGGGAACCAGGCTCCGTTTCCAATGGGACTCCCGAGACAGGCACTTTTCCCGGGGACTCACCGCCGGCAGCATCCCCAGCGAGGGATGAGGCGGCGGACGGGCGCGGGGGGCACAGCCCGGGGGCGCTCGGGGTGACAGGCCGGGGAGGGCCGGGCCCCGTGGCGAGGGGCGCTCCGCTGCCCGGCCGGGGCTGGAGGATCCGGGAGCCCCGAGCCGGTCTCCCCTGAGGGAAACAAAGGGCAGTCGCTGCCGTGGGGGCCCGGGGAGGGGAGCGGGACCGGGGCGCGGGCGGCCCGGCCGCGGCACTTGCGGCGGGCCGGGCGGGCCGCCCTTACCTGTGGAAGGAGACGGCGCCGGGGCGGGCCCGCCCCGGCCCCCGCCCCGGCCCCGGCCCCGCCGCGCCGCCGTACGGCAAGATGGCGGAGCCGGGTCACCCCGGCGCCCCTCGCCGGTGGGGAAGGGGTTTCTGTACGGCACAACATGGCGGCCGCCACATGGCCGCCGCCATTTTGGCCGGGGTGCAGCTGTACGGCGCGGGGCAGGTGGGGAAAGGGGGGTTCGCTCGCGGCGCCTCTCGCTTGCCTCGTCGGCGCAGCTGAGCGTCCGCCTCCCGACGAGCCGCTGGGTCCGTGGCAGCCGAGCCCTGAAAGGCGTCTCCGAGTGGGGCGGGCATGGTGGAAGGGGTTACTCTCCCGGGGAACAGAGGGGCGGAGCTGGGCCGGCTCCGTACAACACCATGGCGGCGCCCATTCATCACATCATTCCGAGGTGTACGTGTCACGGGAAGCGCCCATCGGCGCTCTGCTCTAGGAACTGAGCGTTCACAGTTCGCGCCACCCTCCAGCCCCGGCTCCGGCCCTACCGCAGGCCCGCTGCCGCCCCGCGCTCCGCTTTGCCTCTCCGTACGGCAACATGGCAGCTCCCTGTCAGCAGACAGCGGCGCGTGGCGCCGAGCTGTGACGAACTACTGACAGCCAATAGGCACGGGGCCCGGCGGCGAGCGGCGCTCTCATTGGCCGCGAGCGGCGCGTCGCGCCAGCAGCCGCGCAGGGCGTGAGAGTCGGCGGCGGCCGCAGCCTCGGCGGGGCCGCCATGGACGCAGGTGGGTCCCGGGCGGGCCCTGCCCGCGGTGCCGCGGCCGCGCTTCCC